TAAATTAACAATAATGCTTCGGGACGCTTCGGGACGCTAAAATCCTTCGGGACGCTTTTTAGTGAGACCCGTTCTGACTTCCTGATGACACCTGTTTCAATATTAAAAAGTAATAAAAAACACAAAAACATTTAAAGGGAAACTTTCGAAATTTCCTGATAGAATTGATTTTTTCCCTTTATAAAAAATTTATGCCCATCCCTAATTTGCTTTTAGATCTGCCCATGGCATTGCCTAGTAATTAAAATAAAAACGGGGACATAAAAGGGAAATTTTTTTGGAAAAAATTAACCCCCTCAACTGTTTTTTTTACAAAAAGGGGCATCTGTTTTTAATATTAAAATAAAATCCCATAATTAAAAATGTTTTAAATTTAGATTATTTGAAATCAAAAATCTGACAAGCTGGAACATGTCAATGTTTTCAAATGTGAAAACCTTTCATTCAATGCTTACCTATTTCGCATAGTTGAACGTTTACTAGTCATACTTTCAAAATATGTTATAAGTGGTAGTTAAAAAGTTGTGCTATAAATGCGTGTACTTAATTTTTCTGTCAAAAAGTTAATTTAAAGCAACCGCTGATTTTTCTTATGCTTACTTATACGGAAAAGGCAGAGGGTGTCCGAATAGATTCGGATAAACGCCCGCACAATTACGTACTGTATTACGAGGAAACCCAAAGCGAATCGGCCCCAAAACGGCTCGACCCATTTTCGCGAGATTACCGGACTCTTTCTACAATATTCGTAACATAATATTACCTGTTTTCTTAACTTAAGGTCTTCTGCGTACCCGTTAATATACTATTACCTGCTACGTGTCTGTTATTTTGCTTAGTTTTAATTTATGTAAAATGCTTAGACTACATGTTTGTTTGTTTGCTTCTTCAACTTCAACTTCAACGGGTTTTCTCGACAAAATCCACGAAGTAGACATCGACGTCGAGGAGGTGAAGACTGTACATCGGCTTTGCTTTTGTGCATCCCTCTTTAGTTTGCTATGATGCTTTGATTATATGCTGTGTGTTAATTTTCCTTAAACCCTATATTTTTATGCTAGTTGAATCTTTGCTGTATGATTTGTATGCTTTGTTCATATTAAAACTCCTTATTCTCCCTTCCATTAGGCTGTGCATGCAACTTAATTTTAGTTAACTTTGTTTGTTACCCTGTATGTGCTTTATCTTGTTTCTTTTTTATGCTGTCTTAGTTCTATCATAAATTTTTATGTACTTTTTTTATAAGTAAGTGAATTTATTTATCTTTTTATTTATTTTTTAGGATACCTCCAATTATGTATAAATTCTAGATGTTAACTAATATCTATTACTATTTTATTATTTTTATATTTTTATTATAATTATTATTTATTTCACATTGCTACATGTATCATACCTAAATTTCTAGACTACAGTCATTTATTACTTTTAACTGTTATTACCTTTAATACAATATGTACTGTGCATGTCATCAACCTATGCCTTAATTTACCATTTTAGTGTAAAGTTCTTCTTAACCTTGATACTTTTATTTCATGCTTTAAGCTGCTACTTGTTTTATATGTTTTAACTTTCAGATCTGTTATATGTTAGTAAATATGTTTTATGCCTTTGTTATTGTCGGTAAATAGCTTATAAGCTAATGTTTGTTGTATTATGTAAACCGACTTAAAATAAAGTTTCTTGTATCTTGAATCTTGCATGACATACCGCATCAGATGAAAAACAAAAATGTTAATTAGCGGCTTATAAAGTTTTGGAAGCCAGAACTACTGTTTTCTCCTTTCTTAATGTTATAAGTCGCTTTAAGGGACAATGAGAATAGAGTAAATTTGTACACACACATCCTTATCTTAAGATGGGTAAAAAGTTTCCTAGACAACAGCTAGGCTGCAATCTGTTGTGCTAAATGGCAGCTGCTCTAACCCTATCCCAGTATCCTTAGGTGTCCCCCAAGGCTCTGTTCTAGGACCCCTCCTGTTTTTCGCCTATATAAATGACCTCCAACAAAACATAAATTCTCAGGTCCTCTTGTTTGCAGCCGACACTGCAATATACCTTTGACATCTGCAAACCAATCAGTCACCCTCAAAAATGATCTGAATCGGTTAGAAAAGTGAGAGTTGGAGTGGGATATGGAATTTAACCGCTCCAAGTGTCAAGTTATCAACGTCGCAAAAATGAAACATCCTATCTCAACACAATACTACCTTCATGGAGACCAATTAGAATCGGTTATCTCAGCTATATACCTAGGCGTGGATATATCAGAAAACCTCACGTGGGATGCCCATATAGACAGGACATCCAAGAAAGCAAACTAAACCTTAGGATTCCTACGTAGAAACATAAAGGTTAAATGCCAATCCATTAACTCCATTGCTTACCAGACGTTAGTCAGACCCAGCTTGAATGTGGTTCAGAAGTATGGTATCCCCACACCAAAACACGAATAAATCAAATAGAAAATGTCCAAAGAAGAGCAGCCCGATGGATTAAGCTAGATTATGATCAGACCTCTAGCGTGACAGACATGCTTCACTTCCTTAAGATTAGAAAACTGGAACTCAGACTATAGATGCTAGGTTATCCCTTTTCTATAAGATTCACCATAGTCTGGTTGCTATCCTCATAAAAGAATATTTGAATAATAATATCTGTCATATTTTGCGGTTCGGATCGGAATATCCGCCCATGGGCGGGTGACCGAGGGACGGATATTCCGATCCGAACCGCAAACATATACATGTATCAGATATTTTTTCTTGCATATTCTACCATATTCCATTAAAATTCTTTATCTTTATTTTCAATGAAAATTTATATCATTATAACCGTAACTACTTTCATTCAACAGCGTATGAATTACAAAATCATTCATAACGGTAAATTGACGTCATCTTTATCGTGCCATTGTATAGCACGCGACTCATCTGGAACCCCCTATGCCAGATGAAATTTCCGGCATGGGTAAAACTAACGGAAACGCCAGTCTGATATGCAAGAAAGCCTTCTCCCGAACGTAACGCCATGGCCATCCCTTATGTTACAGGTTATTCACAGCAACCTGAGACTATTATAAATTCACATTCTTTCCTAGGACGGTATACCACTGGAACCACCTCCCCCCTGCAGCAGCCCTACTCCCTACCGCAGAGCAGTTCAGTGCAGCCATAGCCTGCATCGAACACGTATCGCCCCTGTTTTTAACATTTTAAATATTCTTTTATCCCCTTTGAAACAACTCGTTTTAACTTTCTTGCTATTTTTGACGCGCAAACATGTCTATGTCTCTGCTAGGGGTTTGACATCAACGGAAGATAGGATTGATAGAAGACAAATTCTGCTCTGTTCTGCTAAGTTTTGTCTTTCCTTATATTCTACAGTAGAGTATTTCTATGGCAAAATAACAATACAATTATATATATGACTTATTGAATAGTTTTCTTTTTCTGCTTACTGCCCATGGATCCGTCCGCCTGTTAACAATTTTGTATCTGCTGCCTATAGAGACACTGTGCAAAGTCACTGTCCATTTTCTTTGCGAAAGAAATTGAAAGTTATGATTTGTAAATTAAAAAGGTGGCAAGTTTTAAAAAGACAATTTTAAAGGAAACGCGTTTTAATAACTAGTTTTCTTATATTTTTAATTAAAATGAAATGATTGGTCATTTGCTTTTAATAATGTTTATGGCAGTTACGAATAAATATATCGTATATTAAAAAAATTGTACTGATCTCTTTAATATCTAAAACGGATTCATTGATGGAAAAAATTCTTATTGAATATTATTAGTGTTTGAAATTATTTGTTTTGTACAATAGAAAGGCAGTATTTTAATAACACTTCTTTAAATCGCTATTATATATAAAATATATATAATATATATATATATATATATTATATATATATATAACTATTATTCAGACGAGTAAATTGATTGAGTGTTTTAAATTATTTTTTTCAACGGTCGCACATACGTTGTTATGTGTGCTGTTATTTGTAAATGCTTACTGCTAATTAACTTCAGGGGACTTCTATTTGAAAGATCATGCAAACACTAACCTATACAAAATACAATGTGATGTTAAACCATCCAAAAGGTACCATAAATAGCACTAGAAAGTCAAGGAAATAACACCATTTTCAACTTCATATATCAAAATCTTCGCAGTCTATGGCAGGGGACACCCCTCCCAGGCCCATCCCAATCACATAGATTTTTCTTAAATCAGTCTTAATTACATGTATCATCTAAATATTTACCAACACAATAGTATACACATATATACGAAAAGTACTTTGCCACATAAAAGACATCGATTACAATTTTTGTCAAATGAACAAGGTGCCGGTCCAATCTTCGAACATGCGCAATTTTCGACTGTTGCATTGTTTTTCTTTTGTTTTTGTTAATATCTTCAACACATATGTCAGCCCCCGCCCAAAAAAAAACCCTGTTCTGTATCCGCCTCTGAAACAGCAGGTTTGACTTTTGATTCCGCTCAAGATCAGCCTCACACTTTGTCATTATACATGTATGAACTTCAAAAGTTTGTGTCAGCTCTGTATCTTTTGAACCTACATGTATAGAAGGCAATCATAATTCTATCTGGCAGAAATGTTTTTTTTTACAATGAGACGATGTGGAGAACGCAGGTTTAAAAATTTATATTGAACCTACCCAGGTGGTCACTTCATTCATATAGACATATATAAATGTAGGAAAACAATCTGGAAAAGGGGTGAAACTACAGTACTGTAGAGGATATCTACAAAAATTATATTGATCATAATTATTGGATCAATATTGGTCACATAGAACAGAACGGTTTGATTAGCCTGTAAATGGATGGTGAAGAGCTGTACAGTGAAAGTTGTCGTTCACACTTTACTCCTGCACGGGATCTCCTAGATCTCCGTTGAGGTAAATATAATCCTATAGATAAATATTTAGACGGATCGAGCGTCTTTTCCGGTAGAATACGTAAACGAAATTTTATCCTTATTGGACCGAGAGGTTGCGACTTGTAAACGTTCACGTGCAATCGAGATATTTTGTCTATTTCTCAATTACATTTGAAGGTATTGATTTTAAACAAGTAAACTTTATCACAATATATGTGTAAAAATGAAGCTATTTCTGTTGATCAATGATATTTGGATCTGGTGATAGTTAAATGTCATATTTAAGTGTACTAATTTCGGATAACACTTCAATTCGGTCAGAGCAAGGTAGCCTGGAACCCCGTTGTATCGATCTATTTACCCATAAATCACAACTGCAGTTAAAAAATTTAAATTTCCCTGAATCTTTATTTTGTATCATTTATTTTGATTCTTTTGTCATAAATATTACATGGCAAACATCACTGATATAAAGTTTAAGCTTTGGAATATTTGGTTATTTACAGACATGTCAAACAGGTTGAAGAATTAGGTCACGCCATTATATCGATGCATTGTGAGAATTGCTCAGTTAATCAAAGTTTTGGAAGTCTGACCCATCTTTATGCTAGATTTTTCAGTCAATTAGAGTCAAAGATGTCTGTTTTAAAATGTCAGCATAAATTTAGGAACTTTCAACAGACAGTAAATGTGTTTTTAATAAGAACACACTATTTATAAGTCTATTTTTTATCTACAAAGTCTGACGGTACTGGAAACATGTTTTTGACCATTTTTACGGCACAAAACAAATGCGAAAGATTTTCGTGACACTGTTGTAAATGTTAGCAATCAGTAGCTAGTGCATTTTCAAAAAAATCTCAAGATTTGTAAATAGATCGATACAATGAATAGCACGATACAATGGGGTTCCACTATATAGCCATTTGTTCTGGCAATAGGCATTCAAATCTTTTGAAGCCCCTATTTGTAACATTCTATTATTTAAACTGATGAGACATTAAAGTTTTGAATTAAACCTGTTATGAAACTAGCCAGAATAAGACATGTTTATTCTTCGTTTTAATTTGCAAATAAGCATTACCAATAATAATGAGGTCTAGGATTGCATGATATTTATGGACATTTATGTACCATCCATAGTTTTAAAGATTTTTTTATATGTTAATGTGCAGACATTTTTTATGATAATACGGGAAGCCAAAGCCCGGGGCCCCTTTGACTTTCCCGGCTATAACCTACACATATATATTTAAAAGAAAATGAAATAGAAACAATTAAAAAAATATATATAGAATTCTATACCTATCAATGAAATAGGTCGAGTGTTCCAAGTGAAATGGAAGTGGTGCATGAAATGACAAATGACACATTTAGAACAGAAAAATGAAAGAAACTTTTTTAAAGACTTCCCCTTCATAGGCTTTCATATTAGTAGAAGTTGTATTTGATGACTACTTTAAACAAAAATATCAAAGTCATCATACATAGATGAAATTTACCTCATTATCTTTGTTAATATAAACTCTCGAGACATCTTAAGCTGCAAATTTTAGTATTACACGGAAAACTGCAAATTTCACATTGAACATCTGTAAATTTTTGGATTGAAAATTCTTTGAATTTGCAGACTATCCAATATCCATAGATTTATTATTTACCAAGTGTCTAGAAATGTCATGACATTCAGATTCTAGACCTGATTAAGTCATGTACATTATAAACATTATTCTATCAAACAGTTATTTCAACATTGTTCCAGACAATTTAAAGCAACTCATGTAAAATAACAAGTATCAATAAAACTGCATATTTTAATGTGAAATATTAATCACACTGATAGTCCAAATAATTAGACATGAAAAAAGATATTTAACTTTAAATTTATCATTGTGACATTTTATATTATCAAGGCTTTTTAGGATCATTGTTTGTCCCTTTTCTGTTGTCCATCCATATTTAGTTCATTAACACTCTAGTGGTCACATTTTAACCTCATGTTTGTTCAAGTTATATGAGTTCAAACATGGGTCATCTCTGATCATCTTAAGTTTTTGTGTGCAAGTTAGTATCTCCAAAACTACTAAAGTGGGTTGAAACTTTACACTGTTGAGACTATAGTCACTTTCCACAGCCCATTACTCTAACATGGATTTTGACAGAATTATGGCTCTTTTTGAACTTCGTCAAACATTATCAAGGCTCTTGATTTACAAGCATTGAGAATAGTCAAGCAATCTGCCCTACCTACAGCTTTGTTAAAAAATATAATTGTATATTATATGTTCTTTTATTGTAATTTGGATTTGGTTTGCTGTATAAATGTACTTTGATATACATTTCAGGTTAACAATGGCGAAGGCTAGAGAAGCAAAGAAGAAAAGGATAAGGGATGGGGTAAATAAAGGTGGCCACAGTATGAATCCAGACAGGCCAAAAACGGGCGATAAAAACATGAGAGACAAGGCAACAATTAAACGCCTAAAGATGTACAAGAACTTCAAAGCAAAGCGAGACAAGATTGGGAAAATTTTAACACCAGCTCCATACCAGTCTTGGCTGATGTCTGGAACAGTGGCAAGGGTAGAACCAAACAGGAAATGGTTTGGTAACACTAGAGTTATCTCCCAGAATGCCCTTCAGACATTTCAGGATGAGATGACAAAAGTGAAGAAAGATCCGTATAAAGTTGTCATGCGACAGACCAAACTGCCTATCTCGCTACTAAATGAAACAGCCAAAACAGCAAGAGTACATGTTCTTGATACAGAAACCTTTGAATCAACATTTGGGAAAAAGAAGACTAGAAAAAGACCAAATCTTAAAGTGTCTGATATGGAGGCATTGGTTGCACAAGCTAAAGAAGCTTGTGACACATACAAGTCAGAACAAGATAGAGACCTTGCTAGAGATGAACCTGACTTTAAAGATGAGTGTACAGAGATGGTATTTAAAGCTGGGCAGTCCAAGAGAGTCTGGAATGAACTTCACAAAGTAATTGATTCGTCCGACATTCTCATTAATGTCCTTGATGCTAGGGACCCTCAAGGTACTCGCTGTTACCAGGTAGAAGAATTTCTGAAGAAAGAAAAGCCGCATAAGCACATCATATTTGTACTTAACAAGGTTGACTTGGTTCCTGTTTGGGTGACACAGAAGTGGGTGGCCATCTTATCATCAGCACATCCAACTTTAGCTTTTCATGCTAGTATGATGAACCCTTTCGGTAAAGGTGCTCTAATCAACTTACTCAGGCAGTTTTCCAAGCTGCACACAGACAAAAGGCAAATTACAGTAGGATTTGTAGGGTATCCAAATGTCGGAAAGAGTTCAGTTATAAATACCTTAAGAGCTAAGAAAGTCTGTAAGGTGGCCCCTATAGCTGGTGAGACAAAGGTGTGGCAATACATTACATTGATGAAGAGGATATATCTAGTAGATTGCCCAGGTGTGGTTTACCCTACTGCATCAACACCAACAGAATGTGTTCTTAAAGGAGTTGTTCGAGTTGAGAACATTAAAACTCCAGAAGATTACATAGAAGCAATGCTGGCAAGAGTAAAGAAAGAATACATACAGAAGACATATGGCATATCAAGCTGGACTGACCATGAAGATTTCTTGACCAAGTTTGCTAAAAGGTCAGGAAAACTGCTGAAAGGTGGTGATGCCGACTTGAGCACATCTGCTAAGATGATTTTAAATGATTTCCAGAGAGGTTGTATTCCATATTTTGTACGACCACCAGGATCAGAAAATGAAGATAATACAAACACAGAGGAGGAAAAGATTGGAGAAGAAGTTGCAAATAAAAATGAAGGTGACGATAATGTTGCTGTCAAAGCTAAAAAAGTTCCAACAGTTCATCAAGATTATAAAAGAATCAGAGTCGAGCCAAAGTTTACTGGTGATGATGTGAGGCGTGTACATTTTGATGATTGTCAGAATGATTCAGATGTTGAGTTAGATGATCATGAAAATGATGAAGATGATGATGAGGAAGCCAATGAGGGAAGTGATGATAATGAATTGCATGATGGAGAAGATAAATGTGATGAGAAAGTAAGTTCAGACAATGATGAAGTAGAAACAGAGGTAAAGGAAGAAGTGACAGTGAATAAAAAAGGGAAGAAAAGTTTAAAGAAATTGAAAAAAGAATTAAAGAACGTTAGAATCAATAAAAAGAATGGACAAAAGTCAGTTCAGGGAAGTAAAATTGTTAAGAAAGGTAACTTGAAAAAAGATTTAAATGTGAAGAAAAAGAAATCTAAAGTGAATGAAGTAGTAATAGAAAATAATGAGGTGCTGGTAGTAGATGTTGATGACGCTGATCGTCCAGAAAGTTTTACTGCTATTGTAGGTAGTGAAGTCAAAGCAGTAGATACTGAGGTTACAGGTAAAAGCCCTATAGAGAAATATATGAAGCAAGGAAAACTTCCATTGACTGTATTTTCTGTAAAGGACACAAAAGACGTTACATGTGTCGAGATAGAGCCACCAGCAAAAGCCGGAAGCAGTGGTACAGCAAAGGGTGGTAGGCAAACTAAGGGAGAGAAGCAGGTGATACAAAGTAAAAAAGGAAAGAAGAAAAGGCACATTGAGGAAGAAGAGCCTGTAGAGCCTAAGTTAAGCAGTAAGAAGAGAAGAAGAATGGAAAGAGAAATGAAAGAAAAGAAAATTGGGGTGCACTTTTATACTTCTGCTAATGTGAAAAACAGAAGTTCAAGAAAATAGGGCATTAAATCAAACTTTTTTTTTCAAGTTAACAACCACTGTAATTTTGTGAAAAGTTTTAATATGAAAATTTGAGTATGTATTCAAATTTTATTAGTGAAATATTACCAGTAATTGAAGTAAAAGAAAAAAGAATTAGGATGCACTTATGTCAAAAGCAGGAGCTCTAAAATATTATCATTGAATATTAAATTGAATCAATTTAGTGACCTTACATTGTTTTTAATGAAGTTTTAACATGAATAAATAGTAAAAATCTCTAAATAAGATGTAATAATAACCAATTATATTGCACTTAAGTTGTTATAATGATATTTAAAGATATTATTAAAGAATAAAGATTGTTTGAAAATTCAGTAGTTACTTAGTTTAAAACCTATGCAGTAAGCTTTTTATCACTTAAATTACTCATAGTTGTTTGGAAAAGTGATGTTTATTCAAGGTTAAGAATACAATGTCTTTGATAGTGTCCTACAGTTAATGAATCCTGTCAAATGTAAGGTCATGCCAGTTAATCTCGGTTTGCAATGGTCACATGCAGAATCTGTTGCCACCAGCAGGCTACGGGTTAAGGAAAATCTATTTTATAGATAAAAGAGTGAAGAAAGAAAAAGTATTAAATTTTTAATAATTTAACCATTTAGTTTAAAGAAAAAGGCCAAAATTATAAATTATTTGTTGAAGTGAAAATAACAAAAACGAGAAAGTACTGTACAAAAGTAAATGCTAATGCCAAACATGGGGAGAGTTCAACAGTTGCCAATCTGCTTTGTTTAGCCAAGCTAAAGCAAGGTTTTAAGAGGTTTATAATGTCCCCGCCTTTTCGAAGAATAAAAGGTGATATAAAAACAGGGTCTGTGCGTCTGTCAAATTTTCATGTCCGTTCCATAGCTATGTCATTTATTAAAGGAATTTGAAATAACTTGGCACAAATATTTGTTATAATAAGACAATGTGTCGTGCGCAACAACCTGAACCCTACCTCCAAGGTCACACAGTGATTAAAGGTCAACATTGAGGGTATATCTTGTCAGGTCCGTAACTTTCTTATCCATGAAGAGATTTTAAAAATACGTGGCAAGAATGTTCAGAATAATGAAACAATGTGTCATGCGCAACAACAAGTTAACTACCTCCAAGGTCAAGGTCTTAGTTGGAAGGTATATTTTGTGTCCGGTCCATAACTTCTTCATAGATCAAGCCTTGCTTTGGGTATATGTTAAATCTGGTCCTTAACTTTCTCTAGTTGGCACAGATTTCCACATCAATAGTTACCATGTGTCATGTACAACACCCAGATGCCTACCTCCAAGCTCAAGGTCACACTTTGAGGTTAAAGCTTGATGTGGTCTGTTTTGGGGTATGTGGCAAAGTCGGGGCCCAAGCAAATAAAATGTCATTTGTGAATCACCCACATAACTTATCGATGAAAAAGTTATGGACAGGACACAAAATATACCCTATAACTTTCTCATTAACAGACAATACCCAGTATTGATATTGTTCGTCTTGAAAAGGTAATAACAACTATACAAATGTATTTCTGTTGATCAGGATTTTGCACTAAAAGTCCATATCCATTCCTCAATCTTTTGAAATAGATATCTTTTTCAAGTAAAACTTCCCTAAGGTGGGAGACGTTGGTAACTCTGTTAAAGTAACAAATTTCTTTCTTTTTGGTTTGGTTTAATATTATACCAACATTGAAGAGGTCAAATGGTGACTTTCAGAAATACCTCCATTGCCCTGCCATGCATTAAGACAGATGTGAGCAGGTGCCTGAGTAGAACCACCAACATTCTATAAGCTTCCTCACATGAAAGAATCCAATGTCCCTGGTGTCATTTGAACCTACTGCAGTCGTGGACAAGTGGTTTGAAGTCAACGACCTTTAACCACTTGACAATGAACATCCCTCTTGTTTTTTTCTGAATAACAGTTTCATAATGAGAGATAATTGGACTGAATACATATACAAATATGAAAACAAATGTCCCTTGCTGCATCCAATGGTGGTACCACATAATGAAATTGGTTTTTTTAGCCATTTTATTGTGGTCAAAAGTTTTTTATCTTGGATTTTTAATCTACATGTACTAGGAAGAGGCTGAAAGAGCATCCGTTACATTTTATACCTGGAATCACAGTTTAAAGGTCAAGGTCACATTTAGATTGGTGTCTTACTCATAATCATTCCTTTCAAAAATAAATAGCATCAGGAGTTCACAAGACATGAGCAAGAGCAAAGTCGTAAGATCAAGTTAATGTTATAAAATAATGTATATACTGGTTAAAAGGAATGGGTGCATTTTCTATGTTCAAAAACATCGCCCATTTGTTTCACACATACATTAGTGGGTGCATTGTTGCAATCCTCGTCAACCTTTTCTACCAAACTGGTGGAGGGCAGGGGAGCCTTTCACTTACATACTTACATTATTGTAACTCCTGTTTCAAGTCACTTTTTTGCATAAGCAGATTTTCGTATTTATTAGTGTTTTACTGAACTTTCTTAACAAAGCATTTGTGTAAGTTTGAACGTGAACTCAGTTATTGATGGCGTAAATTTCAGGTGTTGTACGCAAATCTCGGTCACCATTTTGTTTTGTAGGTAGTTTTTATTTCACCAGCTATTAAATTATTTGCTTTAATAAACCACCCCTTTTTAATTTAACATGGAAATATTTCTTTGGCCACAAGGAATTTTTACATTGAAAACAAAGCATAAAATAGTATTCTATATTTTATTAGAAAGATTATAAATGCAGAAAAATGCTACGCAGTCAAAATTTCATTCACGATCTCTTAAGAAATTCAACAAAACAACATTTTGGGTTCTCTCCCTTAGGTGGTGATATTATTTTCAAACTGGAGAGACATTTTGTACATTATTATACAAACTTTTAACACTGCACATTTATTCTTATGAAATTATTATTATTGACTGTGAAAAAGGTCTTAAAATCTTAATAGAAAAAAACAACATGCAGTGCAAAATAAAAAGAATCTTAAAAACTGTGTGTCTGTGATAGATGTAAAATTATGTATATTGTATCAAAACAACAAACTCTTATTACATATTAGATACAATATAATGATGGTATTCCAACTGAAGTACATGTATATATGAGACAAAATATTAACCCATAGTATTTTCATATTTGAACTGGGCTGTATTGAATTTAATGTCCCACAAAAAAATGATGGTATTTAAATTGAAAAATATATCCGACAAAGTATAAACTTAAAGGGACTCCACTGAGGTTTTTAGACATTACACACTGGAAATATTTTTTTCTGAGACTTTTGAAGCATTTGATTAAGTGTGAACCAATAACTTGTGTGCAAATTCTGAGATCATTCCATCACCCTGTTTTTCCAGAATAACTATTTTTATTTCGCAAAATGATTAAAAAAAAAAATTGAAAATCGTTTCAACACTGCTCAAATCAGACAACACTTTTTGCTCAAATCAGGCTAGAAATGGTACTTACAATCAATTTTCAATTTAATTCTAAACATATTTCTTTCTTATCCTTCTCAGATATATCCATGGTTAGCGTTTCACTTGATCTATGTAAAAATTATTGTTTTTTTTTTAAATGTTTTTAAGCTTTTGACCTCAGTGGAGCTCCTTTTTAAAGTGTTTTGATATTTGAACGTAAATGTATTAGATTTGATGACACACCAACACTTTTAAGGGCCATATGGAGACTTGCCACTTAAATAACTGAGGATGACCTGGGATGCCACTCTCTTATTAGGCACTGGCAGGCACCAATTTATTATCAACTGTCCCCTTTAAGCTATCTAGATAGCATGTATCCAATCTGAATAGCATCTCTCTTCTCTGAAGACCACGTAGAGAACTTAGCAGGCTTTAAATCCATAGTGAGTGGTGAGGGGTCAATAATTTGAAATCTGTTTCATAAACCACTCAGCCATGAAGATTAACTACGCATGTTTTACAATAATTGTATCCAGTATGTTTCTAAATGAATAATGAAAGCCATCCCATGTATGATGATTATATGAATGAATGTTACAGGCAATAAGTGCTGCGAGATTAAATATAGCAAGACTACCATCATATAAAAGATCAAGTTTCTGTTTGAAAGAAAAAGGTACTGAAAATCTATTCAACAGACCAAATATTAAGAAGACTTAACTTTTTGCATTATTTCTGGCATCGGCACTGGAATAGAACCACCGACTTCCCATATATGTTTAGCATGAGCAGTAAGAAGGAATGTAAAATAAGACAAGATACATACAAAGAATATTCTACAGAATTTTTTTTAGCTAGCATTTGGTAAAAATCGAAACCCCGTCTTATACATGGGTTCGACTTATACACAATTACAGAAAATTGAAGTTGTTGCTGAAAAACACAAAATTCTTGGAACTTTAGAAAATATCAGAATGTGTACATATCATGATGTATCTTAATGAATAATGTTAATAACAAAGTTTATTAAAAATATAATTTTATCTACAATAACAGATATGGTACAGAAAAGCTGTAGTCTTTTTTATGATCAAAAGACCCAAAGTCCAAACAAAATGTACATCATAGGAGTAACTGGAGGGAAAAAATGTTTACAACGGGTTTAATAAACATACCATAAATAATTTCAATAAATTATTTTTTAACCATTTTTTTTCTTTCAAATATGTATGCTACAACATATATTATGTATACATGTATATAACTTAAAAAAACAACCTTTTATATGTAAAGCAATGGATAACTTTAAAAAACATAAAAAAAATGTTTAACGTCTCAATATATGAAACTTGCATTATATATTAGGCACTAACAATCAAGCTTCAAGCAAGTATACATGTTCATTATGAGTGCAAAAACTGAACAAGAACAATTTGTGAATAAACAGTTCGTAAAAGGAACAAAAAAGCCAATCGTTGGCTATATACCAGTTCTATACAACTATATTGTTGATTTTTTTTTTTGCTTTAATTGTTTAAAATTATCAGTCTTGTTCCATACCATGCAAAAGTTGTTGTTTTTTTTAATCATTTGGCCAAATTACCAATAGTAATACCATTTTTGACCAAATTACCAATAATAATACCATTTTTGGCAACATCATACCATTTTATAACTCTGGCAAAATTATAAATTGAAATAACTTTAATTTGACTACATTAATTTAACTCTTTAATTCATTTATCAAAATTACTACTTGAAATACCATTTTTCTTTAGCTATTTAACAAACTTACCATTTGCAATGCCATTTAGAAAGATTACCATTTGCAATATCATTTGCGATTGGTAAGAAACCTACAAAACAACAAGTAAATAGCTTACAATTAATGCATAAAATATCTAAATTAGTCAGAACTGTCACAATGTGACATCAGTACACAAATTCTTGCTACAGTGTACATCAAAAAGGAATTATCTAATATGCTTTAAAAGCATAAAAAAACACTAAACAATTCTAGAATAAGACTCGCACAACATTAAGAATTTGTAAATTGTATAACCTAAAAATAATAATCTATAAGTGTTAGTTAAGAAACCAACAGCTTAGCTTTCATTTAAGACTTACAAAATAATGAATTGGGATTTTTTTAAACCCACTAACTTTTTTACAGTTTCATTTCCTTACAGTATAAATATTTATTCAATAGAATAGCTTAAAAATCTGTAAAAACAAATTCTAATATATAAGTTAAAAAAAATCACAACCATACATATCTACAAGCAAAAGATGTACTAATCAAGTTTCACTTATTTACATAAATCTAGCTAGTAAAAATAACAAAAAAACAAGTCATTTTTATTTTAGCAAAATTGAAATTTCAAGTCCATCTTAAATTGGACTTATCAATTAGTAAATAATGATAACCAACATTTAGACATTATATTTAACTTGAAAAAGATATATTTATTTTAAAGATGTTTACTTTCATTATGAAAACAATTATTGCTTGATGAACAATAAACCACTTGAAAACGTTACACATATTAACAGAAATAGTTTGTTTATGATTAGACACACATAAAAAAACTAATATAATAACTTTTCAAAACTTATAAAAATACTCTCAAAATAAGAAGGTAATTTTGCCTGAGATTAACTACATGAACAGAAGCACTAAAGAAGAAACAAAAGATAAATGCAGGAATATTACATAATCTGGAAAGCACTAAGTTTTGGAACTTTTAGACTCAAATTTATTTTTTATAAAACATGAAGATTTTTTGCTGCTTCGATCAAAGGAAAAACTTCAATACTAATTTAATGTGAAAAAAACATAGAGGATATTTGTTTCTTTGTGTGTAAGATGAAATTTTATTTTCATCGAGTGAGCTTTAAAAAACAGTATTCTAACGAGTGGCATATTGTGAAAAATACAGAACTATATTTTTGTTAAAGAGAGATAACATTTGAAAATTTTTCTTGAAATACAACAAAGAACAGGATTGTCAAAGTTTTCAAGATCACATTTTACAACAAGACAGATGTAACAGAAAATAAATTTGAAAAAAAAAAATTGTGCCCATAAGTCTCTGCACACTTACAGCATCAAAATGATAAAAGAAGACAAAAGATTAAAAAAATATTCAAAAATAATTTTCATACGAAAAACTAAACATAATTTCTCACTAATTTATTTGAGATTTATATGATCATCATACTATGCTATATATGCAGAGCACTAAATTTCTAAATAAAGGCCATAATTCTCAATTCTCAGCTATAAGTCGCACTTTTGATGCTCAAAATTTATAAACAAGGCAGGGGCAGCGTCTTATATGTAGGCTCTGCTTGAAAATCAGAAGCAAAATCATATTACTCAAGTTTATTGTGTTTCAAATTGTACCTAGAACTTTAAATATCACTGAGATTGCTGTAAACAATTATGCATTAAGTAGAATTGTTTTTTTTTATATAAGTTCAAAACTAAATATGGTGAAGAAACAAACCTATAAAGCTGTCCTATAAAACCCTGATTTTATTCTTCCCCATCTAAACTAGTTTCATAAGAAAATAGAATTTTAAGTTTTTGATAAAACCATACAAATGATTTATAATGTCACACACTTTGATCTATCTATAGTGAAATGATGTTAATTGATGACTTATCATCATAATATGACTTATAATGAATATTTTGGCAAACAGCATGAATGTATGCTTTCAATTTAAAACCATTTTGCACCCTAAAATAATAGCAGACATAGGCTTCTTTAAGCCTTCTGTTTTCGTATATTTTATTTTTTATCATCTATAAAAGACCTTTACTAATTGAATGGGATTATCATATTTTGTTTCTTAAATATGAGTGTTTCTTATACTAGATAGAATCTCCCTTTCTTCTTTATTATTTTGTGAGAAATTTAACAGTTACATGATTGTAATGGTGATTTATACATTAAATGAAATTCTCAATGAGATAATACAATGATAGATGAGAATTGCACTTATGTCCTGTTTTTACAACATTTTTTTTCTTCAAACAGGTAAAGGTAACAAACACGTACATATAATGTAAATATATTGGTAAGCTAAGCATTTAAAAAAATGTTCTTTTTTGTGTATCTATATCTTAAAATGATCATAAATATTATAATTATTATTACATCTCGTCTTCCGAAATGTAGGGCCCCTTAAACGATAAAATCATCGACTTCATCACAGCAGCTGCGGCAAGGGCTGCGTATGGCTGCCATTCTTGTTTCTGCATGCCGTCGCTGTAGTCGGCCATACCTCTGATAAACATGAAACTTTCTTTCACGCTTCCAACAACGCCAGCAAGAACCTGGTCGAATTCTGAGTCGAAGGAATTGACATTGTACCTTCCGGCGAAATCTAGACGCAGATCATCGGCCTTTGAAAATCTTTTGCCTGCTCCAAACACACCATAGTGTATTTTTGGGAAGCCTTCTCGCTCATCTATTCCCTCAGGGTGGTGTGGGTGCTGCATTTCTAGAACATTTCCTTCACCAATCATCATTGTTAACCTATTAAATAAAAGACACATGAAAATACAAAACTGTCCCTTCTGCATCTTGTGCAAGTAATAAATTTAATTTGACATGACAAGTTTTGTAATCACAAATGAACTTTTGACCTCTAAACACACTTTGTAACAAACTCTCATTATTTGATATAAATATATTTAAATCTGCAACATCGTTCATCAAAACAATCCCACATGGAAAATAACACTCAGTCACTACATGCTTCATAGTTATACTTAACATGGCTTAAATTTCATCACTATAATAACTACACAAGGCATGGAAGAGAAATGTTTTGATAGCCTGTAAGCTGACCAGTGACAAAAGACTATCCAGATTGTTGCAGGTCATACGAAAGAACAGACCGACATTAACCATGGTAAATGGCAATAATAGAAAACATGAAATGAAAGAACAAACTGACTAATTTAACTGCTAGTTATACTGTGAAATCATTTAAATATAATGTCATAAAATTTCGTGGTTTGAGGACAATAAGCAATTTGGATGGGGTCGTAAATTCATGGAATTCAGTTGCTAGGTAAAAAAAATTATGGGGTCTTAAATTTATGGATTCAACTTTCTGTAATAATAAAAAAATTTAACGGCATTTGTGTTACTTAATTGTTGACAGGTGCAAGAAAAGTTGATCTCTACCTGTCCAAATAACCCAAGATGCATTTTAATAGTTATTATTAAATTATTTCTAAAAGATAAATTTTTCATTTACCTATCAGTCTCCGGTGGTGGTCTATTGTAGTCTGCCTCCTGGGTGGCCAGAAGTTCGAGACCATTCCTGATGTATTTACGCCAAGGCTCAAACTTCCGGTGCAATCTCTGCTCTTTTATCCCTTCGAGAACTCCCTGTAGGAAGGCATCTTTAGGCTGGAATGCTTTAGTCTGGTATAATATGTTTCCATCCTTTTCTTGTAAAATTTGATCGCAGTAGTAATAGATATTGCCACCTTTAGAGCAATCGGATATCATTACATCTCCTAATCTCGGATGTTTGTAATAATCGGTAAAATGTGGAACAGCGCCGGCTACGCCAACAATAAAAACATGTTCTACAGCCTGGAATGTTCCTGGAAAAAATAGTTTAAAGCAACTGATTATTCAATAGTTAAAGAGTTATATCAAGTGAATCATAATAAGTTTAAGTAACAAAATTTGTTTCTAAAACACAAATGACAAAACACATGGTAATTTATTGATAATTATCCTCAAGGAATGCTGTGATAAATTCTAGAATATCCAATTAATAAGAGCTCTCCGTAGGATAGTGTGCTCGACTTTTATCAGTGCTTGACAGTAAAACAAGCCTGGATATAGAATATTTCAAGTTTTCCAAACAGGGCCACCATTCTATCAAAATCAATGTTCTTAAGAGCTATTGGTCTTGGACAGTGACCACCTTTTATGCCCTAAAATAAACGTAAGAAGTTTCAACCTATTCCCTTCAGTAGTTTTGCACATACCAACATAAACGCAAAAAACTTAATCGGAATGTTATTCCTCAATTTGTCAAGCTAAAAGTAACATACACATCATTATAATATTCCAAAATCAATGTGAAACCCCCTCCAATCAATATAACATTGACCCAAATGAAAGAATTATAAAAGTAATGTTTGGTGGTACATATTAAGAAAAATTTCATGAAATTTACATACAAGACATCAAATTATTTTGTCCTATAGAGGTTAGGTATTCCAGATGGTTACTCAAAAAAACTTTATGTTGTTGTTTACATTACCATGGACACAAAATATAAGTACATACCTAAAAGTCTTGTTGTAGTGTTTCCAGATGAAATTTGTGCAGATCTATCATGTCCTATCATAGGAAGTTTGGTAGATACACATTTATGTTCTCCGATATAACCTATTGTATATGCATTAGATTCACCTGAAATATATAACAGAAGGTCAACTCTGGAATGTACTTTTAAAAACCATTTTCCCCATTGCATTTTCTGTAATGAACTTGTATTATGTGTTTGATTTTGAATATTATATAGTGGATTATAAGAGTGGATGATGAGAATAATGGTTCTATTTTCTAAATATTAACATTGTACAATATAGTTTTCATTTTTTTTTTTGGTTTTTAAATTGATTATAACATGTTTCATTTATCAGTAGTCGGACATCCAAATAATGCCTTTACTGGCTAACATAACATTCATTTTTCCAATTTCTCTGTAAGTGACCAACTACTAATCACGCCTAATTTTTAATTAGGGGTGAAAGACAAATTGACCATTGACTCAATGTCGAGACTGGTCAAACAGCACCAAAAAGACATCAGAAATTTTGTTCCAACATTATGATTCAGTCTCAAAAAATAGAATTATCACTCTAGTCGACTAATGCAAGACTGTGTTTGTGTGTATAATACATTTATAATTTCTAGTTTCACATAAAGTTTTCCAAATGTATTTCCCTTTTCATCAATTTATCTTTAAAATAAATCAAAAGTAGAACTTAGAATATTAAGAGAAACCTACCTCCAGTTTTAAATTTAACATAAGTAGTTTTATTTTCCATCATAGCATCTACGGCAAGTTTTTCACAATAATTAGCTGTAATAATTGCTATGGTAGGCTGCTGATTGGCTGAAACTGTCATCATCTGCTTAACTTCCTGTACCTCTGTAAATATATAAACATACATGATATATAAGTAAAACTTGTATTAAAAGTAGGGATGGCAACGAGTAACCGGTTAACCGAGTACTCGATCGAACGTCCGAATATCGGTTAACAAAATTGATATTCGATTAATCGGAAAAAAATATTTAATTTCTACTTTTTTGCGATTTAGAAAGATAAGTTCAGAAATTCGGAAATGTACACGTATCTGTATAAATACTTGTTAAGTGCAATCAAAACATCCTTGCAGAGGTGTGAAAATGTTATCGTAAGTTTAACGAGGCGATCAGCAGTTCGACACGCGTATGGGATTAAACACAGTCCTGTGTCGTTTACGTCATTCGGCCTCTTATTATATTTAATCACCTTTAAATATTAGACAGTTTGTAGCCGAAACTTGTTAATTATAAAAACGTAAATATATACAGAATATTATGTTATAGCTTTGTATTTTGCTACGAGCAGCGGTGGAAAAATTGATATCTCACGAGACCGAAGGTCGAGCGAAATATCAATTTTCCAACATTTCGAGTAGAAAAATGCATGGGCTACAACATAAGTTTCCTTAGATTATAAATCTTTTCGTTTGAATTATAAATGATTTTCATTATACTACACTTCTATACGAAATTTCAGAAAATGAAATGTAGCTGTCAAGAAATAAATTTATGATTGATGGATGAATACGTAATTTTTGCAAAACCGGCCACGCCTTTTATAATTTTGGTTTCCGTTTCCAAATGCTACGTTTAAAGCCAAGATCGGAACCAACGTCAAAAATAGTACGGCACTTCCATATATGGTACAGTATTTGTCACTAACATAATACGGAATTTTCTATCCGTTGAAGCGTATTTGCGCTTCAAGTTCATCCTGTATTTGTAGGTATATAATAAATGCTGTCATTGACATTTCTTATGTTTATATTTATATATGTATATTTCTTGCAGTCCTATTTATAGTTACGAATTCTATGAAATAAAATAGAAAACGAAAGTAGCATGCAGACGGTGTTGATATTGTGTGATAAAACTTTAAAGATCATTGGAAATCATCCGAGTAACCGAGTACTCGATCGGAAAAATGACCGAGTACTCGAGTATTGATTTTGGTATTTGTTGCCATCCCTAATTAAAAGACCACCTAACAGACCAATGGTAACTTTAAACTTAAACTATCCCTCATATTATCTTCCTTGTTGTTAAAAGGGACTCCATAGTGGTTTTTGACATGTTGGGTCATAGATTTTCTATTAGTCAAGAATAAGCATTTTTATTGTGCAAAATGACCCCAAATGAGAAGCCCTGCAACATTTTTCACTCAAATTGTGAAAAAAAATGCACACAAAAAATCAATGTTCAATTTATTTCTATTGCTTTATTATCCTTTGAAAATTTTTCATTTTAAGTGCTTCACTATGTTAGAATTTTAAATTTTATTTGTATAGGCTTTTTATGCTTTTAAGCATTTTGACCTCAGTGGAGCTCCTTCAACACCAAACATGCAGAAAATTTACTCTTCTGTCAAGAAACATAACCCATATTCACTAAAACAATCAAAACACTGCCTCTATACAGCAGTACAATTCATCTGTTAATTGAGTACATACCTGTTTTGACATCAAGAACATGTCTAACGAACCCTCCACTGTCTAGTTGTCTGATCAGATCTTTTCTCCTTAATTCTTCAAGCTGTTCCATCACCACACTTTCCTCTGCATCAACTATCCTGTAATAAAGTGGTTTCAAACATTTACTTGGGATTAGTTAACCCATGACCTGCAGGAATTGAAGGTGATTGGCCTTTGCCATCAACTTAGAGTCATGTCTGCCTGCATGTCCATGCAATATGACTAGGTTTTGTGTTGTTGGTAGCTCAATTTTTGTAATTCAATACAGAAATCTCTTAAACTTTGAATGGACTATTTCAATTTCAAAGCATGGCAAATCTATTTCACTAATTCTTCAGGTCAAGGGATATGGACTACTATTCTGTATTATCATTCTGGATGTATTAAAATAGTGAGCTTTTTCTTAAAATTCTGTTTTTTTCCTCTAGGATTGCAGAGATTACATAGACACATCTAAGAGGTATGAAAACATTTTTCAAGTACCTGATAAGATCTTCAACTGACAAAATGTTGGGATAAGCTGATTCTAGTACATGTAGTAACTTCTCACGTACAATTTCTTCCCATGGCCTCAAGTCTTGCTTTGTGATACCTGAAAAAATAACATTTCAAATTTAAACACTATCTAACAATATACAAACTATAGAACCTGTCACATCATGGAAGAAACACTAGAAATTGTAGACAAGTCTATAACTCTGTCATCTGACTGGCTGACATTCAGCCTAAGAGGAATTTCAACCAATGACTGTATTGTATTCAAAGACTGGTTTCCTTACACAGTAAATTTATAATATTGTGACATGCAATGTAACTTTTAACATAGTTAAATCATCTGTTTTCTTCTAGAATCTTTCAATTCACATTGTACAAATATTTTTGATCATTAAAACACAATAACAACACAATAAAGGTCAGATATTACAGATGAATGAGAACACACATTAATTTACAATTTAACTTATCATGAACACAAACACAATAATTTACGATTTAACTTATCATGAACACAAACACAATAATTTACAATTTAACTTATCATGAACACAAAACTTCAAAAAAACTAATTTTTTGTATTACATTATGACATGACAATTTGACTGGCAAATCCCTTAACCTTTCCCATACAAATCATGCACCTTAAACTAATATTTACAGTACAAATATCTAAATGTAGCACTATTCACAGCTTCCCTATAGAGGTCAATACAAGTCTATTGTCTTGTATCATTATTTACTTCAATTTCATTTTACAGAAAAGTATATTCAAAATGGGGAAAAAACTATACAAAATTATACAATTACAACATTAAGAAGTTAAAGAAGTAAAATTCAATAAAAACAAAATAAATGGCTGAAATAGCCTAGTGATTATTTTCAGCTGCAAGTGTGTGGGCAATTAGGTGAAAAATTAAATTCTGGACAAATCACACCATTGATGAAAATGGGGTGACTGGTTTCTCCCTTACTTTGTGACAATTTATATAAATTTAGATTTTATATGACACCCATACTCCAATGTGTATGTTCAGCCAATGAAAGCCTTTTAATCTTGTTTAACAGTTTTGATTAGCAGTATTCTGCTGATTAACAGTACTAGCATAGTTTACAGTACTATACCAATTAATAGTACTGTACTGATAAACAGTACTGTACTGATAAACAGTAATAGCATGATTAAAAGCACTATGCAGATTAAAAGAACTGGCATAATTTACAGTACTTTACTAATTAACAGTGCTATACAGATTAACAGTCTCAACATACTTTACAGTACTTCTGTAAATATGATTAACAGTACTTCTGTAATTAATAGTACTAAATGATAAACAGTACTGGTTCATTAAATTAACCAAATATTATAATAAATCTCCACCAGTAACCATGTCATTATTAACAATATCATGCAGGTCAGGACGGTTAACATTAACAAAACACTTCAGGTTCAAGCTTATTTAGGGCCTAGGACCATAAAATGTTTGTTGACATAACACATGAACAATAACTTGGAATGATGAAAAACTGTGAAGTTAAAAAGGTAAAATTTCCAGCAGTTTTGATTTTGTCATAAACGAATAGCTCTATGTCACTAGTATAGAAAATGGCAAGTCAGTTTTTATCACAATGGCACAAGTTCATTACGTCACATGATCTGGGCATGATTCAAATATAACCATAATTTTGTAAATACAGGATAACGTTGACAAAATATTAATAAATTAACACCTTTCAAAAAGTGGCAAGCTCCTAATTTTGTATAAAATGTATTCTTTGATAATCAAAACTGCTGGAAAAGAGGTTGCTATAAAAAACAGTTTAACTAACTTATGTTTGCATGTTACAAAAAATGTTGAAGTTTTCAAATGCTATGCTGTATAATTAATTATATGTGATGTTCTGATTGAAAAAGAAACTGGTATAATGCTGGTCTGTCGACTTAACCCCCCACCCCCAAACCCATTTTTGACATTAAAACAAATTTATTACAGCATCAGAAACATTTTTTAGTAATATTTAAAATTTTAATTTATAACAAAGCATTTCAATGCAAACCTCCTTTTTTTTCCATAAAAAAACTATGAAACGAAATACAAAAAAGCCAAACAAACAGGCAACAAAACTAAACTATAAATTAACCAATCACAGTAGGTCTAACAAACTAGGAACAATTTGTTTAGCCAATGAGAAACCAGGTAACAACCAAACATATACCAAATACTCACCCATATTTTCAGCATTTAAACCCCCAAGAAAGCAATGAAAAAAAAAAGAATCCCAATTTGAAAATTTTAATGATCTAAAAATTTTTTAGAAATAATGTGGGGTTAGTCTTGGTTAGTTTTAAACATATTTACATTAACTTAGCCTGGTTTAGATAGAAGCTTGAAACCTATTTATGCCACTCTTGAATCTGCTTCCTGGATTTTACCAGTACTGCGAAACTCCTTCATTTTGTAATGAGTTACAGCTGTTTGGCACCAAAACCTTGATATTAAATAGAATGGTCGCCACAAGAATACAGCTTGAACCCAAGATAACATAGAACACCATAACCAGTCCAACTAGGGTACAGCGCCCCTAAATTTAGGTTAACTGGTACTAGTATTAGGATTCAATCTTGATCTTATTCACAGAATGGTATTTAATGCTATGACAATGTTAATACTGAAATGAACCTATCCAATATAATTAACAAATTTCAATTCCAATGAAATCCTTATCTTAATTATAAGCATTACTATCTTTTTCTACAGGAGTTGAACGATTATATTTTTGTATTTTGTAAGTTCATACAGGAAGTCAGGAAAGAATTGCGAGAGCATTGCAGTAACATTCAAAATGCATTTTTATCAGACCTTCTACTTTTTTATCTGCAAATCAAAAACATACCATGATAATACAAGATATAAATACTCTATACTAAATTCATATCATCCATTTCTTGTATTGGTTACACTCTGAATCTTCAAATAATGACATTATTACTTAAATTTTGCTTAATGAAATTATCTATACAATAATAAAAAACATCTTTACTCTATGTCTACTTAAGCGTATAAAGATTTTAAAACAAGAAAGAAAAAATGTGACAGATATAATAAATCAAACTTATTTGTGAAACCAATATGCTATCCCTTAAAAAATCTCTTTCATGCCACACATCCAACCAACACTCCTCCCTGCCCTCTAAAACTACTCTTACAGAAAGTTAATTGGTGACAGCTCAATAATTTGGTTGTGTTTTAACTTGTACCCTGCTATAAATAACTAAAAGTGATAAGCCTTTGAAACCAGTATACACCCAGGCCAGCCTGACCAGGCTCTACACTGTTGAGTGACTTAACTTAAATCTGATATCCCTTAAATAGATGATAAACACTTCCAAAAATGGAAGCTGAAATAGTCAACTTATTATAAATTTTAAGAAATTCAGCAGTTCAATGGTTAAGTGACGCATTAACGAAAATGGTCATTTGACAACTTTTCAACTTAACAATATAGGATGAAATTCAAATAATGAAATATTGAAGCAATGTGAATATAATCATATAAATGCACATGTCATCTCATACAAGCGCTAAAATGGTATGAACAGAACAGAACGATAATACAAAATAACAGGAGACACAAACTTTTTCTAACATTAACTATGATAGTGAATAAAATGATAATAAATACAAAACGAATAAAAAGTTTCTCATGAACTCTGTCATATTACGGGTACTGTATTGTAGGCATAATTCATGCTTTACAGGTTTCCTGCAAACAATGATAGAGTACTAGAATATATGGTAAATGTATGGTATATCAAATAAGGTCTTCATACTGTAAGCATTCAGATAAAAAACACCTACCATATCCATTTTCCAATTCCGGAGAGGCTAATGAGTAATAACATTAGAAAAGAAAGTATTGCATTTTATTGTACGTTTTCATTACTGTAACATTATTACTGATAAAAGTAATCCTTTACTTGCTTTGACCTTAATTAAGTACTATCTACATATCAAAGTAATATGGATTTTTTTCTGACTTTCTGACTTTAATAAGAGGAAGACCTTTAACGTGCCTCAATCCGTTCATCAATGCCATGCATAGGAATTTGGATGGCATCTAGGCAAAATCAAACCAGTGAACTTTATATCTAATTCAGAACATCACTTGACAATATTTTTGTGTGTGTTAATTAATGATGAGCACTCTAAATCTAAATTTAGTACAAATTTAAATACCAATATATATTCATTATTCATTTAAATACGAATGTATTCATTACTTATTTAAATATGCTGATGAGGTGACAGGCTAGTTGTGGATTAAATCATGTTTATGCTACATTGAATTTTATATGGTGTGCAAAGTTCATGATCTGTCAATGTAAAACACAAGTAAACACTTTTATAGTCTCTTAAGATTGTGCTTTATTTCTCATCTAGTTACATACATTTTTTCCTTTTAATGCACCATTCGTTATCACTTCCCCAAAAAGATTTTTTCCAAGCAATATATACAGGTTGTTTTCTATCTATCCTAAATGTTATATTTACATTCAAAGAAAATTATGATACCATATTTTCGAGATAACTTGCTTTTCGAAAAATGTAACAAAGATATTCAAAGACAGAAAACACATTCTATCAAATAGATTATATGTTTATATTTCATACCTATTTATTGCAAAGGTCAACCTATATGAAATATTTTATATAATTTGCTTAAGACACAATATTTTATCTAAAAGTTTCATTATATTCAAGCCAGTAGAGATGTATTAATTATTATACTAAAATAACCTTACTTTATTCAGTCATTTTTTTTCCATCCAAATCTGGTTAAATAAACCACTTAGATATTTAAAAACGTCTTGAGTACTTTTTTACCAACATAGACAGAACCAGAAATGTTAGCCTCTTAAGTATTAGAGTTTAATCAAAAGACTAAAATAAAGTACTGAGTATTCTACCAGTAAGAAGTATTATCTAAAATAAGTATTTGTAAAAAAAATATTATATCTACTGACAGATAGTAGTTTTAGTAGGATTAAGAGGTTAATACACGGCAGGAGAGGGCCGGAAGGTGATAATCGGCCCGTAAAATGAATAATGGACCCGAGGGCCATTATTCATTCAGGGCCGATTATCACCTTCCGGCCCTACTCTGACGTGTATTAATGTCTTTAATACACTTGGTAGATCTAATAGTAGCATTTTTTAAAAAAAAACAACAACAGTTTCTTTCGTTTGAAATTCTTGTCTACTTTCTACTGTTCTGTGCAGAGATGTTTACTGTTTGTGTGTTTCAAAGCAGTAGAATCTAGAAGCAAGTTTTATTTTCTTTCTTTTTTTTCGGAATAAATTTGTCGTATTATTTCTTTCAAATTTCAATAGTAACAAAAATGTGTTTGTACTAAACACGCTTAAGCTCTCATAAATAAAAATAAAGCGATTCGCGCTGACTAACCTACTTTCACTTTTACAGTTAACTGTTTGATGACGTAAAATATGACGTCATTGTTTCAGTTTGTGCACGTACACATGTTCTGCGGGCTGATAACTAGTTCTCGGCCCCGGGCCGCAAACTCATAATAGGTCACGTGACACTCATAATCAGTTGAAATCATAGGCAATTGTGTTACTATATATAGTAACAGGTGTATTAAAAATAATTAAATAGTAGGTTATAAAGAGGTATAAATAATTAAGAAATAATATATCCCAAACAGTGATTTTATCGCTCAATAACATCACTGTTTGGAGTTCGGATGCGAGAAATTATATCACGAGGGCGATAAAATCACCGATTTGGATATATTATTTCGATTCTAACACGACATCAACAAATAAATGCTGCCGCACCTGATATTAAGCAAAATTGCGCCCGATTTGTTTCCGTACTTATTTTAAGCGCATCGGATTCTTTTAGTGGTTATGTCACATGTATAATGATTATGTCATATATCTAAATATAAAACGTCAACTGTGACTCTATTGCATAACAACACACACTTTCGGTTCTTCTTTATTCAATAGTGAAAAATGCAGGTCGTGTTAGAATAAACCATTTAAAACACATTAAACAAGAATATCAGTAATTGATGCCCTCTGATACTGCTTTAACAAAGCTGAAAACATTAAATTACTATATAATAAGATAACCTATTATTAGACTCAGTAACAATGACCTTGACATAGTTGACCTGACACTCCACACTAAGGATAGAAGTTCACAGAATTCTCCAACTTAACAAATATGTAAGATATAAGTCAGTAGATGAGAAAAGGTAAAAAGTGTGACAGATGTATGAAACCAAAGACAAACTATTAACTATATGATTAGACAGCAAAAGTTGATGAGCATCAAAAACTGTAAAAAAAGCCTTCAGATTAGAATTTTCAGCTCTGGTGTACTATATAATATTATTATATTCCTGTATACCACTATAAAGTGAACAGTATACTGTTTTTTAAGTGACAAAGAACAATGGCACAAGTTATTATAGATACCTGGATCCATCGGGGTGGCCTCATCATCTAAGAGCTGTATTTCCAGGTTGATCTTTCTTGCCATGCTGTATTCCGGTTTCTGCATCTGTTTCATGCATTTCCGGATAAATCCAACATAATCTGTACATGAACAAAATAAAATCTGTCAAAAAAATCTAAATTTCTTTACCCCTTAACCTGCTGAAATCAAAAGCAATTGGCGTTTGCCACCAGTATACAGCCAGGCCAGCCTGCACCTCCGTGCAGTCTGACCAGTCTTTATACTGTTGGTAGCGATAAATTTTTGTATTTTGTTACACTGAATTCCTTGAAACTTTGGACTGTTCCAAATTGAAAGCAGGTGGGTGAATTCATTACACAAATTCAGCATGTTTAGGATTAAACCTAAAATTTCTCATGATAATACTGACTTGCCTGTATTATCAGTATAAAGTCATATGGCCAGCCAAGCCTGTTTGCTTCCGTCCTTTAGCTTCACAACATAAACATTTCTCATATTTAGAATATACAATGCAAATCTACTTTCCAGTTCTGAAACTTTAAGCAAACTGGAAATGTGTCCATCTGACAAAGATTCTTTCACATTCCCTGCGCCTTCAGTAGTGGGGGCATAAAAATGTTACAATTATATTAGTTACTGCTTGAAAATCAAAATGAATATGGTGAAATTTTAAAGGTAGGAACCATTACTCTGGTGAATTTACATGTAGGTTTGTGTCTTTAACTATTAACTCATTTATTTCACCAGAATCTTACCTTTAGGGAAGTTCTCAGGTTTGAGGAGTTCTCGGAAGAAGTTAAAACCGGTGGTAACTTGGTCAAGGTAGTCAGCAGAATCTACATACCAGAACTTTAATTTTCGACTCTCCTGTAAACAGAAAATTGTATTAAGATATGGTGATTTATGTTTTATAAGTAGTCAACACAAGCATATAACCCTTACCATGCTTATTATCTTAAATAAACTTGTCCATCTTTCAATTTAGCCAAGACTATCACTATTCATTACTTTTATGTGAAATTTTCAAAATATGTACTGACTAAACAATTAATTGTTGTATGATTTTGGTCTGCATAAACTGATCACATGGGAAGTTTCCATTGTAGCTTGCAGACTAAAGGTTAATTTATTGTGAATGACCTTCCAAATGATAAGGGAGGCAATGCATATTATGTGAAGAGCATCTATGTAAAGTTGCAAATTATAAAAGAGTATGGAAAAAAAATCACAAAAGTCTGCCTAATTAAGTTTGATGTACGTATTTGTCATCACTTCCTTAAATTGCAAAAAAAGAAATACAGATGAATTCTCAGACCATATTATGTTTAGGACTAAAAAAGAATACATTGCAATAAAAATCAAAGTTTTACATACCACCACATGATTCCCAGTTTTGGTATCTACCATAAAACAGTTGAAGCCAAGTTGAACCTGAGGCTTGCCAAGATCTTCCTCGTCATCTCCTAAAATATATGTGTTCAAATTATATATGACATGTGTTCAAATCATATATGACATGTGTTCAAATCATATATGACATGTGTTCAAATCATATATGACATGTGTTCAAATCATATGTGTTCAAATCATATATGACATGTGTTCAAACCATATATGACATGTGTTCAAATCATATATGACATGTGTTCAAATCATATATGACATGTGTTCAAACCATATATGACATGTGTTCAAAAATCATATATGACATGTGTTCAAAAATCATATATGACATGTGTTCAAAACCATATATGACATGTGTTCAAAAATCATATATGACATGTGTTCAAATCATATATGGCGTGTGTTCAAATCATATATGACGTGTGTTCAAATCATATATGATGTGTGTTCAAATCATATATGACATGTGTTCAAAATCATATATGACATGTGTTCAAATCATATACATGTATGACATGTGTTCAAACCATATATGACATGTGTTCAAAATCATATATGACATGTGTTCAAATCATATATGACATGTGTTCAAATCATATATGACATGTGTTCAAATCATATATGACATGTGTTCAAAATATCAACAATTTTGTATATTTATGATATGCATATAACTACAGGAACTCATTTGAGGGAAACACACAACAATCTCTGAACAAGTTTAAAATTCTATTTATTATCTTCTAGTTTCGAGTATGCACTACGCTTTTTCATATATCTGCAAGTATAATTAATATATGTGTTTAAAACATAAATGACAAGCGTTCAAAACATAACTAAATTATGTGACATGTGTTCAAGACATCAATATTACATGTTGAATATTTAATATGCATAATCACTATGATATGTGTTCAAAACATCAGTACATCAAAGCTCATTTTATATGTGGAACTGAAAAGAAGCTCTGTGGTAAAAACTAATTCATGTATTTTTTCTGTGTACATAAAAATCGGATGCCTCTTAACACAATTATGCTGCAATTGCAAGAAACTGTCCTTATTTCAATATAACAAAGAGAATCAATGTTCATGCAATCTTTCAAGTTTCATACCACACATAAACATATATTCTTTTGCAACTGAATAATTTATTTCTCATTTTAACACCAACATGTATCATCTAAGAGAAATTATGGAAATTTTATTCACATGTATGTTTACAGTCTCAATGATTAAATGGGAAAGATGAGCTAGGGGCCCAAAAAAGAAACTAAGTTAAAGGGGCCCAACAATGATCTGAAAAAGTCTTACTAATCCTAAAACTGGTTTACATATTTTAAAAATTAATTTACTATGAAAACACTCAAAGTCACCAATGACCAATTCTCAAATCAAAAGCCCAACAAGTTTCATTACCTTTGTAACAACAAAAATGAGCAGGTTAAAGGTTAAATAATTTGGTAAGTTTAGTACATATCAAACATGGATGATGACCAACAACACCTTGTTGAAATGGAATCGTAGAAAGAAGACACATTTCTACACAATGAATCCTAACAATGATGTAGTAAACAATATTCAAAATAGCATTGTTTCTATCAACGGCAATATAAACCAATGTAAACCATGTTTTTCACACCAAAACATACCTTGTGATGACTTGTTGATAACCAGTCCCTTGTGTTCCCCACCAGCAACATGGTGTCTCTGTTCTTCTGTACCACTCATATTCAACTTCCTCTTTCTCTCTATTCTGATATGAGTTGCCTTCCCTTTCTTTGTGGGGGTCATGATAACTTCTGGAAAATTTTTAACAGAATCATTTAAATGCATGTTTACTTATTCATGATTTTGTAAGACTAACGATTGATGAAAATGGACCGTATTATGTTTGATTCCCTGATCATTTATTGACCTAATCATGAAATTAGCTACCACCTATATTATACTTATTATATAGGAGGAAAGATATGGTTTGTTTCAGTCAGTAATGTGTATGGGGTTATGCATTAAGTTCAATAATGTTCAAACAAAAGCAGTTCATCAGCCACAAATGATTCAATACTACATACCCCTGCGATAGAACTTTTGTAGAGAAACATGTACAGTGATGAAATATTGAATGCTGGCCTCAAGGTCATAAAACTTTTTATCGAATCTCAGGAATTTCATTGGTCAATATACATTCTGTCAATCAAATACCGGAGATCTGAGTTTAAGCTTAGAAAAACAAGAGCCGGTTGAACCGGGTGATTTCCCGAATAGGTTTTGGACACAGGAAGGTATACTTCTTGTAGTGTCAGAGTTATGTGACAGACAAAGTTCATAGTGTAAAAGCAACCCAAATGTTGCGCATGACACATTGTCTCAATATGGTGATTATTTCTTTGAAATAGTTGTAAAATCCGAATTTAAATAACAAAGTTATGGGCCGGACATGATTTTGCTACAAGGTCATGCTGTGACCTTGACCTTCAAGGTAGCGACCAAAATGTTGCATGCAACAAGTCGATTCAATATGGTGATCATCTCTGTGAAATAGTTGTTAAATCCGACTTCAAATAACGAAGTTATGGGCCCAACACAATTTTGCTGCAAGGTCATGCTGTGACATTGACCTTCAAGGTAGCGACCCAAATGTTGCGCGCGACACATTGTCTCAATATGGTGAGGAGATATGGTGATCATTTTGTGAAATAGTTATAAATCCAACTTCAAATAACAAAGTTATGGGCCGGACACAAATTCGGGACGTACGTACAAACGGAAAGGTCTTGATGTGACCTTGACCTTCATGGTAGCGACCCAAATGTTGCGTGCGACACGTCGTCTCAATATGGTGATCATTTCTATGAAATAGTTTTGAAATCCGACTTCAAAAAATGAATTTATGGACAGGACACGATTTTGCTGCAAGGTTATGCTGTGACCTTGACTTTCAAGGTAGCAACCAAATGCTGTGAGCGACTCGTCGTCTCAATATGGTGATCCTTTCTGTGAAATAGTTTTAAAATCCGACCTCAAATAACAAAGTTGTGGGCCGGACACGTTTTTGCTGCAAGGTCATGCTGTGACCTTGACTATCAAGGTAGCAACCCAAATTTGCGTGCGACACATCGTCTCAATATGGTGATCATTTCTGTGAAATAGTTTTAAAATGTGACTTCAAATAACAAAAGTTATGGGCCGGACACAAATTCAGGATGTACGGACGAACAGACGGACAACCCGACGACTATATGCTCCCCCGAAATTTTTCGGGGAGCATAAAAATTGTTTTAACTTTGGCCCCTAAAGCAAAACTGCATGGATGTGCACCCTGACAACTTGGCTCTACATCAATGGCAATGGCTTTATACAGGGTCTTATCCAGCAATTTTGGGAATAGCCCCCTAGTAAAAATTTCTACATTTGGGAAATTTAAGAAATTAAAAAAGTTGAAAATCTACCATATACCTAATGTTTTAATTTTTTGACATATGTATGCTGATATAACCTGCAACTTTTTTAATGAAATAACTGAAAAAAAGTTTAAACAGTTAGATTTTTAGGCTGCTGATATATTTTTTTTTTGAAATTGGGAAAAAACTAGAACTATCACTAAATGTGATTAATACCCCCACAAGTCTGCTTCGGAAATGAGGATGTTACTAGTAACAGAATACCTTGTAATAGAATTGAAACATAGAGTTATGGTTGTGGGCAATTAAAGATAATTGTGGTTCATGTATGTTGCATTTCCTTTCAATGTGGTTGGCAATTGATGAAGTTTAATTGAATTACTCTGTAATAAGTCCAGAAAGACAAAGAAAAAGAACAAAGGGCAATAACTCTATAAATACTGAAGATAGAGTTATAGTTCTTGTGCACTGCACTATCTCTTATTGTGCTTGACCATTGTATGAAGTTGTTTTGAATTCCAACCAGTACGTTTTAAGTTATGCTCCGGACAAGGAAAAGTATCAAAGGGCAGTAACTCTGTATTTTGTCAAAATGGAGTTATGGCTCTTGTGCACTGCACTTCCTTTTAATGTCCTTGACAACTGTATGAAGTTGTACTGAATTCCAAACAGTAGTTTTCAAGTTATGCTCTGGACAAGGAAAAGTAACAAAGGGCAATAACTCTGTAATTAGTCAGGATGGAGTTATGGTTCTTGTGCACTGCACTCCCCCTTATTGTGCTTGACCATTGTATGAAGTTGTTTTGAATTCCAACCAGTAGTTTTCAAGTCATGCTCTGGACAAGGAAAAGTAACAAAGGGCAGTAACTCTGTAATAAGTCAAGATGGAGTTATGGTTCTTATGCACTGCACTTCCTCTCAATGTGCTTGACCATTGTATGAAGTTATAATGAATTCCAACAATAAGTCTTCAAGTTATGGTCCGGACAAAAGAAAGCAATGGAAAAGTAACAAAGGGCAATAACTCTGTAATTAGTCAAGATGGAGTTATGGTTCTTGTGCACTGCACTTCCCCTTATTGTGCTTGGCCATTGTATGAAGTTGTTTTGAATTCCAACCAGTAGTTTTAAAGTCATGCTCTGGACAAGGAAAAGAAACAAAGGGCAGTAACTCTGTAATAATTCAAAATGGAGTTATGGTTTTTGTGCACTGCACTTCCTCTCAATGTGCTGGACCATTGTATGAAGTTATAATGAATTGCAACAATTAGTCTTCAAGTTATGGTCCGGACAAAAGAAAGCAATGGAAAATTAACAAGAGCCATGTCAACATGGCCATCCCCCGCCGAATGTGTTTGCTCATTGGAAGAATGTATATGTAGTAGAGCAGAATAATTCCATTTTAAGAGGTCTTTTGGTAATGAAAACTGATGGCTATAGTGATTACAGATTTGAAACCTATGTGAATACTGATGGCTGAAAATAACAAAGGGCAATAACTGAAAAATAATGCAGGGTAGGTTATCATCCTTGTGTGCTGCATCCCTCCTCAGTAAAATCTATCCACCTATGAAGTTTCAAGTTGATACCTCAAATACTTTTTGAGAAAAAAATTGAATTGAAAAATTAAGTATGAAAAATAACAAAGGGCAATAACTCAAAAATTATAAAAGGTACAGTTATCATTCTTGTGCAGTGCACACCTCCTGAGTGAGATCTATGCACCTGTGAAGTTTCATTTTGATATCTCAAAGGCTTTTTGAGTTATGCTCTGGACAAAAATTAATTTTGAAAAATAACAAAGGGCAATAAATCAAAAATAATGCAGGGCAGAGTTATCATTCTTTAGCACTGCATTCCTCCTCAATGAGATCCATCCACCTATGAATTTTCAAGATGATACCTCAAATACTTTTTCAGATAAGCTCTGGACAAAATAGCATGAAAAAAAACAACAAAGGGCAATAACTCAAAAATTGTATAGGGAAGAGTTATCATTCTTGCGCACAACATTTCTCCTCAATAAGATCTATCCTTCTATGACATTTCATGTTGATATCTCAAACACTTTTTGAGTTATGCTCCACTCAGGTGAAAAATTAGGTATGAAAAATAACAAAGGGCAATAACTCAAAAATTATGAAAGGAAGAGTTATCATTCTTGTGCACTGCACACCTCCTGAGTGAGATCTATGCACCTATGAAGTTTCATGTTAATATCTCATAGGCTTTTGGAGTTATGCTCTGGACAAAAATCAATATTGAAAAATAACAAAGGGCAATAACTCAAAAATCATGCAAGGTAGAGTTATCATTCTTGTGCACTGCACTCCTCCTCAATGAGGTCTATCCACCTATGAAGTTTCAAGTTGATAACTCAAATACTTTTAGAGATATGCTCCGGACAAAAATTTCGGACGGAAGGACGGACGGACGGAAGGACGGAAGGTCGGACGGACGGACGGACGGACGGACGGAGACTATTACTATATCCTCCGCCGAAAATTTTCGGCGGGGGATAATAAAGGGCAATAACTCTGTAATTACTTTAGATAGAGTTATGGTTATTATGCACTGCACTTCCTCTCAATGTGCTTGACCATTGTATGTAGTTATATTGAATTCCAACCATTAGTCTTCAAGTTATGGTCCGGACAAAAAAAAGAAGGCAATGGAAAAGCAACAAAGGGCAATAACTCTGTAATTACTTTAGATAGAGTTATGGTTCTTGTGCACTGCACTTCCCCTTATTGTGTTTGACTATTGTATGAAGTTGTTTTGAATTCCAACCAGTAGTTTTCAAGTTATGCCACGGACAAGGAAAAGTAACAAAGGGCAATAACTCTGTAATTAGTCAAGATAGAGTTATGTTTCTTACGCACTGCACTTCCTCTCAATGTGCTTGACCATTGTATGTAGTTATAATGAATTCCAACCATTAGTCTTCAAGTTATGCTCCGGACAAGGAAAATGCAACGGACAAAAAAAAAATGCAATGGAAAAGCAACAAAGGGCAATAACTCTGTAATTACTTTAGATAGAGTTATGGTTCTTGTGCACTGCACTTCCCCTTATTGTGTTTGACATTTGTATGAAGTTGTTTTGAATTCCAACCAGTAGTTTTCAAGTTATGCCCCGGACAAGGAAAAGTAACAAAGGGACAAGGAAAATGCAACGGACAAAAAAAAAAGCAATGGAAAAGCAACAAAGGGCAATAATTCTGTAATTAGTCAAGATAGAGTTATGGTTCTTGTGCACTGCACTTCCTCTCAATGTGCTTGACCATTGTATGTAGTTATATTGAATTCCAACCATTAGTTTTCAAGTTATGCTCCGGACAAGGAAAATGCAACGGACGTCTGGACCGACCGACCGACCGACCACCGGGTGACTCCTAAACCCCCAAACTTTGTTTTTGGGGGTATAAAGAGGCTATTTTGAATTGGATATTAAGTCTTATGTCAGCCCCTAGTAATAGGATAAAAAATCCCCTGTTTAAAATTGTAAGGCTAATAATTATGGCATTTCATTTTGATATAATGCACTGTATCCAGAGTGACAACTTGATTTCAAACCCTCTGTTTTTTGGTGAATGCCTGGTGACATGCCCAAGGTCACACCATAATAATGACCTTCAGATAGGGTAAATCTTAAGAACAGTTCACAATGTATTTGCCTTGAAACAAATCAAAACCACAAAAAATCATTTTTATCAATCTGTTTAACATACAGTTTAATGAACAAAAGGTCTTCAGTCAAATTCAGTGATTTATCAAATGCTGAAAAATGCAAGTTCAGTCATTCATTTAAACTAAGGTCAAACTGAAACCTGAAAACTATGACACAATGCCTCAATAGGTTTTCTAAGATATATATCTTCATGTGCACAATAAAGGTTATATAAATGGATTTTTTTCTTCTTCAAAATTATTACCTTGTTAAACTATTAAACTACTAGACTAAGATATCATTTGTCAAATCTTGTAAAAATTGTTCTTTAAATTTTGTATTAAATACTTCGGTCACCACACACATTAAATAAATTCTATTTCATTGAAATTAAATCAATGTATCTTTTATACATAAAGATATTGAAAAAATTACTGTTTGACACTTCAAGGTATTATCAAATACTTCTAAAGTAACTTCCAGACCTTTTCCACCTATTGATAAGGCCCCAGGAAAGATTACAGGGAATGTAAGAAATTTTAAGAAATTGAAAAACTACTTTATAGATAATTTTGAGTCATATGTATGATCAAATATCCTGTCTGTTTATTTAAGAGGCCAGTAAAAAACAGTTTAAATTTTCACAGACATTTAAACAGTTTGTTTTTTTGTGGGCTGCCATTGAGAATATATTTGTTAAAATTGATAATAAACAAGAAGAGATCATGCTTCATTTGAAATGGGGCATTAATTATATCGGCCTTTAACAATAAGGCAACAAAGTCTTGACTTATAATATCAGTGCTTTTTTCCTTTTAAAGCTGAGGTCGTTTAACTTTAAGGGTGGCTTCCCCAAACAAAAATTGTTTAAAATCATGCTGTTTTCCCCTAAAATTGAAGTGATATCAAGTCCCCCCCCTCCTTTACCAAATTACAATATTACATTTTCCCAAAATTAGGGGAAGGGCTGCTTCCCCAGCCTGTGAAAAAAAGCCCCTGAATATTCAATCTAATTTACCACACAGCCTTTAAACTTAGAATATTTATTAACAAGTGAAATTAATTACACTAAAGTTACATTGTGTGAAGTTGTATAAAATAAACAGGCATCATAGTGCCTCCTACTGGAGATATAAAAGAAATACCAGGCTTTTCCTCAAGGGAGGAACATCATGTTATCATTACTGTTTGATATTCATTCAACTCAGGCAATTAACAACATGGAGGGAATGTGTTTCTCTGTTATATTAATAACTGTTAAATAGATAAAATAATGCAACTATATATTTTGTTCCTCACTCCTATCTTTTACCTGTAGTGCATTAATTTTCTTTACCAGATTTGCTCTACAGTCAAAGACTTTACACCCTACACTTGCATTTATTACATTCAGTTCAATACATTGAACATTCATTATTAACAAGTTTATATAACTATATAGCATTATACCACCACTTTCTGAGTGACACAGAAATTACTTATAATAACTGGACTGGACACTAGGAATACCATTCCAAAGCTCTACCTACTGAGCTATCCAGCCACTTACTTTTCCCCCCTAAAGAGTGAAAGGCTCTAAACAGTTACACAAGCATCACTTAAACTTTAATTTTCAGTAACGTATCATCAACAGTTTTTCTTAATTCATGTACTCACCCTCTTCATCTGCCATTTTGAATCCTGAAAATATAAAAACAAAGTCAGGGTTACTAAAAGATTTATTACAAAGTTAACATTTCATGGATACCTTTTTTTCCACTTCAAAAAAACTTTTTACAAAATACAGTACACTACTGGTCTTCATCAAGCTGAAACTCATGATATATACATGTAAAAGAAAAGATGAGGACAGCATTTTCTGATATCTGTTAGATCTATGCTTGTCATTTTATGCTTTGATAATGATTTTTTTTTTCAAAGCTTACTCATATGTCAAAATTAATGACTAATAAATATGGACAATTTTCCATGTTTCACAGTAGATATCAATGATATAAAGAAATCTGCAGAAATAGATATAATACATACATGTAGTAAAAGAGCTTCTTATGAAAACCAAGAATACTTAGGTTTTGTCCTCAGGAATAAGGAAAAGGCCTTAGTCTGTCTTTCATTTATGGGAAATAATTTACATGCAATTTAAATTATACTGGGAAAAATACGACTGAAAATGTGTTCTCATGAATTTTCACAAGTCATTCTCAACAATTGCAGTAGAGCTGTGTGGTCTTCTTGTGTATTGCCCGTCTCAAAGGTTGCAGTCCAATCTGATTCATGATTCAGACCAGACGATTCACAAATCGAACCCAAATTCAACTCATTAAATATTAATTCAATTCTTAAAGAAATCACTTTGTTTACATTTTTTTTGTCTGAATCTTGAATATATGATTATCTGAATAATCATTACAGCCCTTAACTGCAGAGCTCTTACTTCTAAGGGTTCAATAGTGTCATGCTAAAGTTGTGGCATACTGTCTAGGTGATTCTGAACAGAAATGACTCGAAATCAGTATGTACACAGGTATCGTGGCAACGAAGATTATGTTATGTTGCCACTTGTTGAATGTACTGTTGACGTCATTACAAGTGACAAAAGATTATGAAACTTAAGATTTTTTACCATCCTTTCCTACATTATCAACTCAAATTTACTGAAAACAAACCCAGCAGCCTATACATGCTGGTTTGTCATTCTTTCATGACCTTTAACAGTGATTTTAGCACATATGCTGGACATCATGCTTACATGTTACTATTGTAAATAAGTAACCTCTACTTTGTATGTAAATAAACTTAAGCCTAAAATATGTATGCAATTTGAAATGTCATTTTTTAAGAACAAGAGCTGTCACAGGAGACAGCGAAGCTAGACTAATAAAATACTGGACGCAGTAAGGAAGACATAAGTATGAAAGAACTAGAAATGTGTCCATAGGACACGGGTGCCCCCACCGCGCCACTGTTCTGTCAATCTTTTGACTCTAGAGCAAATATTTTTTGAAAACTAAAAATCTTTTACTAATTAAAGGACAAGAACTTTACAAATACTGAATAAATCCACAAGCAAACCCCAAGGTGCATAAGTACAACATAATGAAACGGTTTTTACTAGGTCAAGGGTAATAACTCTACAAATACTGGATAAATCCACAAGGAAAACCCCAGGTGCAAAACTAAATATGCTGAGCAACCTTCCCGTAAGGTTTAATGACTCTATGTCAAATACTTTTTGAGTTACATGCGACACAAGTTGAAAATTGCAAACTTTTCTAAGTCAAGGGCAATAACTCTAAAAATACTAAATAAATCCAGACAAAAATACCCATGTGCACAACTACACATGCTGATCAACAATCCTGTAAAGTTTCTTGACTCTATTGTAAATCCTTTTTGAGTTACATGCGACACAAGTTGAAAATTGCAAAATTTTACTAAGTCAAGGGCAATAACTCTAAAAACACTAAAAATATCCACACGAAAATACCTGGGTGCACAACTACACATGCTGATCAACATTCCTGTAAAGTTTCATGACCCTAGGTCAAATACTTTTTGAGTTACATGCGACACAAGTTGAAAATTGCAAAATTTTACTAAGTCAAGGGCAATAACTCTAAAAATACTAAAAGTATCCAGACGAAAATACCCAGGTGCACAAATATACATGCTGATCGACATTCCTGTAAAGTTTCATGACTCTAGGTCAAATACGTTTTGAGTTACGTGCGACACAAAAGTGAACGGACGGACGGAAGGAAGGACGGACAAGGGTAAATCTAAATGCCCACCACTAAAGTGGGGGCACAAAAATCAAATATGTATAATTATCTTTTAAGTTATAGTAAAAAAATTACATTGTTAACATAAATTCCAAGATCAAGGGGAATAATTCTAGAAAGTGTCACGCTAGAGTTATGAACCTTGTCACACAACATGTGTGTAATGATAAGAAATATATATTTGAAGTTTGAAGTAGATACCTTAAAAAGTAAAGAAGTTATAATTTTTGTAAAGAAAATCCTATGTTCAAAGAGAGATAAATCTGTAAATATTGCTTCAAGAGTTATGAACATGTAATTGATGATAAGGAATAAGTTTTTGAAGTTTGAGGTAGATATCTTTAAAACTAAAAAAGTTATAGCAAAAAATAACATTTTTCTAGTAAAAAATTCTAAGTTTATGGGGATATAATTCTTGCAATATTGGTGCTAGAGTTATGAACCTTAACACATAAGATGTGGATGATCATGATGATAAGGTATATATATTTGAAGTATGAAGTTGATCCCTTTAAAAACAAGCAATTATCATAGTATTGCAAGCAATCCATAAGTCCCATACCAGTTAGAACCCCAGCAACATTCTGATGGGCCATTGGCCATTCAATTTTGAATGAATGACATGAATGAACTTAAATCTTTTGAGTTCTAAGTTTGTCTATATCACAGTAATGTGTGAAGTTCCCTGCCTAGTAGGAATTATGTTTATACAACCTTGTCTATTATTACAATTTGGGATTTTAAAGTAAATCCTATAAGGAATGAAGAAGTTGGAGTGAAAAATACCAATTTCTCGAAAAAAATCTAAGTTCAAGGGGGACATAATTCTGGAAATAGTCTTGCTAGAGTATTTAACCTTCTCAAAAATGTTGAGTGATAATAGGAAACATATATATGAAGTTTGAAGTAGATACATTAGGAAATAAAGAAGTTATTTAAAAAGACAACATTTTTTTCATAAAAATTCTAAGTTCATACTGATAATTTTTGTGCTAGAGTTGTAAACCTTGTCACATATGATGTGGTTGATGAACAGAAACGTATATCTAAAGTTTGAAGTAAACACTATAAGAAATAAAGAACTTATAGTGAAAAATCTGAATAATTTGAATCAGAAATCTTGAAATTCAGGCTATTTGTTGCTATAGCAAACAGATTTTTCAACATAGGAAGAAAAGTAAAAGATGTTCATAATCTCCAGACTGCCATTTACCCATATTCCAAGTTTCAAAAAAGTATTTTCAGTACTTTTTGAGTTATCACTGGATCCAGTTTATGTGTTAAATTTGCCATATTTTCAGACTATTTGTTGCCATAGCAACCAGAATTTTCAACATAGGAAGAAAAGAAAAAGATGTGCATAATTACCAGACTGCCATCTACCCATATTTCAAGTTTCACAAAAATATTTTCAGTAGTTTTTGAGTTATCACTGGATCCAGTTTATGTGTTAAATTTGCACTATTTTCAGACTTTTTGTTGCCATAGCAACTAGAATTTTCAACAAAGGAAGAAAAAAAAGACATGCATAATCTCCATACTGCTATCTATCCATATATCTAGTTTCATAAAAATATTTTCAGTACTTTTTGCGTTATCGCGGGATCCAGATTTGTGGACGGACTGACAGACAGACGGACAGACAGGCGGACGGAGGGTAAACCTAAAGTCCCCTGCGGTTAAACCGGTAGGGGACTAATAAAGAAGTAACAGTAAAAAACAGTATTTTTTCAGGAAAATTCTAAGTTCAAGGGGAGATAAAAATATTGGCGCTAGAGTTATGAACCTTGTTACATAAAATGTGGTTGATGATAAGGAACATATATTTGAAGTATGAAGTTTATCCCTTAAGTAAGAAATAAAGAAGAAATTGTAAAAAATAGTATTTTTAAGGAAAATTCTAAGTTCAAGGGGAGATAAATCTGAAAATACTGGCGCTAAAGTTATGAACCTTGTCACATAAAATGTGGTTGATGATAAGGAACATATATTTTAAGTTTGAAGTTGATACATTAAGAAATGACAAAATTATAGTGAAAAATATTTTACTGCACCAAAACTTTAATCTGAACGCGGACGCCGGGGCGAGTAGGACAGTTCTCCATATACTTTGTATAGTTGAGCTAAAAATGGTAAACAATTAACACCTGTTTGACATCATACTATGTATGACCTGGATGTTTTTTCCTCAATTGGTTACCCGTTCAGAAATGTCAAGGTCATAATCAATACACATCTTTACAGTTCAATAGACTTCAGAGCTCCAGATATCAGCATGAAATACGAATAGAAAATCTTAAATACACATCACTTTCAGAATTCATGCGTCAAAGTTATGCATAACAAAATGAAAATACCCTTGTATATCAAAATATTCAAATGTATAAATTAACAAATTATTTAGACTAACAGATGTAATCATGTATATTTTTGGATTCAGAGTCAACTCGTCCTCTGGTCAACTCGTCCTCTGGTCAACTCGTCACCTTTTTGGTCAACTCGTCCCCTGGACAACTCGTCCTCTAGTCAACTCGTCCCCAACTCGTCCCTTATATTTTATTACTACTTGTTTTTCATATAGTTCATAAATCATTATAGACTGTTAAAATAATTAATATATTATAAAATTACTGAATTGGACATACAGTGAGTTAGCCAATAGCGGATCATAGCCAATAACGGATCAGTCAGTAATTTAACGAAATATTCGTCTAACAGTTTTGAGCTTAAAAATGTTTTTACCTAACAGGCATGTGCATTAGGATGTTCGCTACTTGACAGCGGACAAAAAATGTAAACATCCGTGTAATTGATATCAGATTCACTCAGATGCTTAACCAAGCGTTTCCGTTTCTCGTAAATTTTAGCGCCGTTGACAACGCATATTTGAAATTGTTGCCTTATTTATCATAAAAACTCGAAAGATATTGGATCAAAGCTGGTAGATATTTGATGCCCAATATGTTAACTACCTGCAACACCAACCGTTTAAAAAAAACTTTAGGAATTATTTTGATAGTGCTATTCAAACGAATTGCACCGAGTTATCCAAAAGCGGATCATGCAATTTTATAGGAAGGGACCGCCTCAAAGTTATCCAACCTGTAATACAAAATATTTTTTAAAGAAAATTGTTTACTTAAATTACATATTTTTGAAGCTGTTGCTACTGTTTTAAAACAATTAATTGTGATATAGAAGTTCATATCCATTTGTCTGCACAATCAGAATTATTTTGCTTTTTATGAATGAGTTTGGAGTTTCATCTTATAATAAGGATATATATGCATAATTCTGATTAAATTACATACAGAAAAAAAACAACACGAAGACGATCAATAGCAATAACATTTAATGTATAATAATATAAGAGTTGACTCTGAATCTAATTTTAGTTTTAATTATCATTAAAACTCCGATTAATTAAACATTAATTGAATGTTTGTAAACTTACCTGTCTTTTGACATCAAAGCTATGCACGTGCGCTTAGATAAAGATCATTAAAATTTAACGTAAAAAAGACGTAATTATTTTATTAATATTTCGATATTGATCAATCAAATTCAGTATTAATTTTACATATTTTATCTCAAAGAATTATTTAAAGACAGAGATCGAAAGTAGGGGACGAGTTGACCATATTAGGGACGAGTTGACCAAAAGTAGGGGACGAGTTGACCAAAAAGGTGTCGAGTTGACCAGAGGACGAGTTGACCAGGGTACGAGTTGACCGGATTGCATATTTTTGTTATTAGTAATAAAAAATTTTTGTTATTATTCATTACTATGTGAGTAGCTATTTGTGTGCATTATTGTAAAGTATTTTCTCTTGTATTTGTATGTATGTAAACAAGTATATGTAAATGAACTTGATGCTGTAAATCAATTTGTTTACTAAGGCAATAGGGCATATCCACCAACCTACATTTCAAAATAAAAGTTAAAACATAGGTATTAAATCAATTACACTCCAACGATTTCCTGTTGAACAGATGGCTTCTTTGTTTTTGGTTCTTTAAAGGGAAATGTACAAACGTAAGTCATTTACTAATCATACAAAATCTGCAAAACATCACGCTATAACATAATTTACAAGGGTGGCGCCAGTGTTCGAATGCTGCAGGGTACGAATCCACGCCGAATACGCCCATACTGCTCGATAATCGCAATACATTTCATAAATCACAAACAGGTACAATAAATTTATCAACACATATAATAACTTCATCGCGAAACTTACGGTTTTCTTTCCTGTTAATCAATATAAGTTGATAATAACTTTCAAAATTATTTACAACTTTCTTACTTCCGCTCCAACAAGTGTCACAAACCACGCATGCGCTGAAGTTGACCTCAATAGCCTAATTTGAATACGTTTTTATTAAAGCTGATCATGAAGCATTCTAGCCTATTCACTGCTATTTGCCAAATTGGTGGTGTAAATGAATAAAAAGATTTTTTGCTCTCATTTAATAAAGATCTTCTTTCCTCTTTCGAGCACTTTGACCTCGGACCGCCTTATCTGAGATTTTTTTTCTGAAACTCGAGGTCAATGTGGTTAGCATTACCAATAGTATTTTATATTAATCTAGTTCTGCATTGTGATATCTAAATTAGGTATGCACATTGCAGCCAATCGTCTCATTATCTAATATAGAATAAGCATACATGTATATCCTACTAAAACTTCGCTCAATGTAGATTAGCACATTTTTATGAATTGTCTTTTTCATTGGCATATGTTAGAACAGATAAATTATTACTTTTTTGGCTGTAGTACTATCAAGCACCGTTTATCTTTCAAATGCTTTGTAATAAAGCACTCAGGACTTCACATTTTCAAGAACTCAAACCGTGTATTCTACAACGCAGACCAGTTAATATTTAGTCTCATCAACAGATTTCGTAGCAGTTTTTTTCTTTCTTATCTCTTTTTTTTCATGAACTCAGTTAACTGATACATTTCAGGAAAATAAAATATGCATTTACAATGGCACTCTTTGGAGACACGTGTTAAATGGGATTTAACTGTATACCATATATATGGTTTGGATATGTTTAAATTTCAGGTCGGCTAGGGAAGAAATTCAATTTGAGATCTAAAGAGCATAAAATATATTTAAAAAAAAAACAACATGTATATATATAAGTTAATGTACTATATAAAGAGATGAAAATAGGAAATAGTTAGTTTCACTGTACATAGCATCAAAAAAACTTATGTATGTGCACGGAGAACTTCTTCTTTTTACATCTACAGGGTCATTTCAGAGCCCTTTTAAACTTACTTTTCAACTAGAGTCGTTAAAAAGCCCGTTTCAACTTATTTATCAATGTACTATCATCAAACTAAAATAATACAATCTTTTTATTCATTTTTTTTCTGATTACAGCGCCATTTTCCAAATATTGTTTATTCTTGTTTTAATACAATTTTTTGTTGTTATTTGTTTTTTGTCGTTGTCCAAGTTCAAAAACCATCGGGTAGTATACCAACTTTTATTTTCTCTTCGATCTTTTATCTCATCTTTTATGAAAATGTATGATTACTTAATGCATACTTACTTTAATATAAATCTTTACTTTATGAAATTGATCTAAACATCAACAGGGAAGGCCCCACGATAATACTTTGGCCAAACCTGCTTGTATATTGTGTTGATATGTTTATGTAAAAATTGATGTATAATATTATTAAACTAAAAACATTAGGTATTGACTCGCTCGTCCGTCCGGTGTCACTCCTGAGCATGAAACTAGACCTATTTCAATTATAAACCAAAAACTCTATATGTGGTTACATCTCATTGACCAGTGCAGTGCCCAAGAATCATAACTCTGTGTCTGTAAAATTATTGAGTAATTGCCCTTTTAAATTGTTCATGGTTGATTGTTGTCCTTGCGTAACCCAGGACAGAATGGAAATATGAACTTGAATCTTCAGAAATAGACATATTTTATTCAGGATCGTATGGCGCTCTCATATAGTATTGTATGTAAGAACTGTATAACTTTCAAAAGAAATAAAGTTTTTTCTTTTGTAAATTTTTATTTCAGGACGTCGTAACTGAAAAGTATTGGTTTTATTTTACTTGATTAATGGATTTATCATATTTTAAAGCATAAACAGTATAAACATGCCTTCACTACACTCAAATCCAAAGATTTTTTTCCTATATATGAAAGATAATGTCATTTCCGCTGATCCACATGTGCACTAGAACACCAAATGTGAAAAAGAAAATAGGTCAATAAATGTAATTCTACTCCTGCTTTTCTCTATATTTACCCATTTTTATATCGGATTTTATGCAGTCTTCGTCGAGATATTTTTTCCGTCGAGGGTTCTGGTGTGTTTACAGCATACAATACGTATGACAAAAATGTTACTAAACAGACTCAAATACAGTGTTTTTACAAAATCTTACCATTGAACGATGATAAACATTCAAACAAACCGATATTGAAACTACTTGAGATTTGGCTCAAAATAAAAGAATCGCTGTCAAAATTCCACAGCCAGCCCGCATAGCTCAATCGGTTAGAGCGCGAGACTTGTAATCTCGACATTGTGGGTTCGATTCCCGGGCTGGCCATATAAAATTACTAATCAGTCTTTCGGATGAGACTTTAAATCGAGGTCCCGTGTATGGGTGCTTAAACACTTGGCACGCTAAAGAACCAGGAGAAGCTTCTGGAATTGGGGCATCTTTCTGTATCTGTAATTGCACTATCCTCCAAAAACCTAAAATGACTAATACTCTTCTGGAGGACTCGCCCATATGGGCAACCGGTGGCGAGTATAACGCAAATACACACACTCCATATGTGCTGAAGGGATCCATCAGTGTGTGCTCATAAAGACGAATTACTTCCATTAAGCAATCTGTGTTGAATTCTTTTAAGTATCATTCTGTAATTAAAACTGATGACAATTCAAAATTAATTGACTAACTGAAAATAGTGCACATCTGGATCAACGGAAATTTTGAGAACCATATAGGGTCTCCCGTGGTCTATATGGTTGAACAATGAATGAATAAATAAATAAATAAATATCTCAACCATGTTTAATGACCTCTTTACTCCACACAATCATTTCTTTACAATAAGGATATGGACTTTGGACCCTAAAAAATAACTAAAAAAAATGAAAACTATGCCAAATGAGGTTCGATATGCATTTGATATTAACCCTTTGGACTCTGGAAACGAAAACGAGGCTATATCGGGTGTGATATGAATTTGATACGGATATTTTTTACTCTGGACATGTAAACGAGGCTAAATTGATAAGACATCATATGTGGTGAAAATGCTGTCGTTATATTTTAAAGGGTGTGAAATAAACAGGCCAAAATAACTCAAATTTTAATTTTATCCAGCAAACACATTGAATTTCAGAAAAAAATCGTATACAATATAGAGTCTATACTGAATGAATGTAGGTTCGATACTGAATTTATTGAACGAGTTGAACGGAGCCTCTGGTGAGCATAACGTTTTTCAAAAATTTAGTATTGAACCTACAAGAATGTAATATTCTAGTTCAATATCGTATCCAAAACAGTAAAAAAGAATCACCTTTTCATCGTAGCGCATATACATGCAATACCATTTTTACAGAGTAGCAAAAGCTGCACGGGTATGTGATAAATGATTTAATTACATGAGGCCACTAGTTTTCAATGTAATATGTCCATTTCGTATTTATTCATATATCAATTACATGTAATGTGACATCGGTGTACAAAAACACACGTATATAACATCAAACAAAACTATTTCCAATGATGTAGACGCAATCCGGTCAACTCGTCCCCTGGTCAACTCGTCCTCTGGTCAACTCGACACCTTTTTGGTCAACTCGTCCCCTACTTTTGGTCAACTCGTCCCTAATATGGTCAACTCGTCCCCTACTTTCGATCTCTGTCTTTAAAATGTCTTTAAATAATTCTTTTATGTAAAATATGTAAAATTAATACTGAATTTGATTGATAACGAAATATTAATAAAATAATTACGTCTTTTTACGTTAAATTTTAATGATCTTTATCTAAGCGCACGTGCATAGCTTTGATGTCAAACTACAAAGACAGGTAAGTTTACAAACATTCAATTAATGTTTAATTAATCGGAGTTTTAATGATAATTAAAACTAAAATTAGGTCCAACACTTTGATTTTTACCGCCTCCCTGAATGGATTAAAGACTGACGACAGATTAAAGATCCTGTATGTTTTGTAATTGAGATTGCATACCACTCTTCAATAAATTATATAGGTATGTTATTATGCAAATGTGTCAATTTTCAAACATCGAAGAATATGTAAAATATGTATTGCAAATATTTTTACATATTTAAGGTAATCATTATATTATATGCATTCATTATTTATTGGAAAAATTGACTTAGAATTTATAGAAAACTAAATTATAACTACCTCCCTTTATTTACATGAAATATCAAATTCGGTAATATCTTTATAAATAATGTTTTTTGAAACTTACAATATCGATATCTAAATTTGAGCATCATAATTTGTATATAAAACCATAAAAATAATGTGTTACAGGGTCTTTAACAGAAATTAGAAGCGCTAAAACTTTATGTCGGTGCGTATTGATCTCATTATAGAAGGATCGTGTTAATTAAATGAAAGTGTGAAAGTGAAAGTAAATATATACATGTATGACATAATATTGACAAAAAAGACATACTTTAAGATATTTTATCTTTGCATATAAAACATGTTTTTATACATTAAATGTTATTGCTATTGATCGTCTTCGTGTTGTTTTTTTCTGTGTGTAATTTAATCAGAATTATGCATATATATCCTTATTATAAGATGAAACTCCAAATATTCGCATACAAAAAGCGTCAAAATATGTCCAATTCAGTAATTTTATAATATATTATTTTAACAGTCTATAATGATTTATGAACTACATGAAAAACAAGTAGTAATAAAATATAAGGGACGAGTTGGGGACGAGTTGACTAGAGGACGAGTTATCCAGGGGACGAGTTGACCAAAAAGGTGACGAGTTGACCAGAGGACGAGTTGACCAGAGGACGAGTTGACTCTGAATCATGTAGACATGGTAAATGCGTATATTCATATGTCCACGGACTTTAAACTTTATTTAAAGCCTGGAATATGTCATGTAATGAACGTGTCCAAGAAAATGTTATAAAGCGATCAACTCATGCGAAAACCTATAAATAATACTTCTAAAATCTATTTGATTAGCCGTTAACTCGCATGACTTTTGTGTGTGTAAAAATACGCGCTTTTCCGTTTGCCCCGTGGGCGCCCCAATTACACAGGTAAACAATCAACCGCACTTCGTCGCAAAGCATTGTAGGATAGATTTGAGTCATGGCGGATGTGAGATAGGAGAAATTCGTTTATATTCCGTGACTCAAAAAGGATTTCGTACTTTCTACAGCATTCAAAATGGATTCTTTACCATTAATTTATTCAATTTTATTTTCGGTTTTAATTATATTTAAAGGTAAGTTGTTGAATATATCTAATAAATTTACCTTATGAACACCTTTACTATTTTATTGGTGACACACTTTTTGAAGTTGACAGTTCTATTTGAAAGTAGTGAATATAGGTGTGTCATCCGGTCACGTTAATTTGAATATTATAACAAAGTTTTGTTGAAATTATGTCTAAAATCTGTATTAAGAACATAGATTTTAGCTGAAACATTTAAGTTTACAGCAGTATTTTAAGTTGTATATGTTTTTACCGTTATTATATATATAAATTGCCTTGAGGCCCGGGGTAATCAGAGCTCCAGCGATAATTATTGTCTGGTATGGGGTAGACAAAACTAACATGTATTGTAAAGTGGATATTAAGATAAGGTTCTTGATAAATATTTACCTTGAGGCTTGATTTTTTTCTGTGTTTATGTATCTGGAAATAATTTATAGTCTGACAATAATGTTTGTTATACAAACTTATACCAACTTATTTTTTTATAACAAAGAAATGTTATTTTTAAGTTTAAAATTATGACAACTAATGTGATTTCGTTTATATACTTAATTAATAGTTAAAAACTCACTTAAGTTTAAAATTATGATACCCAACATGTTTTTTAGTTTATACTTAATTGATAGTTAAAAACTCACTTGATATCAATTAACATATCTTTGCATATAGGATTGAGCTATATTTGAGTTAACTCCAATTTTTTTTTAATATCAATTATTAAATTTTATAAACATTAAAAAGAATCAGAGCACTCTTTATGCATTCAACTATTAGAACTCAGTGTACATTAATCATTATAATTATAAAATTCATAATTTGTTGCCGTAATTAAAGCAGCATTTAGACTCCAGATTCATGCTATTTTCTTGAAAATTTTGAAAACGTATTGCATAATATTGTGAAGAAACCAAAAGGAAGCATTTATATCAATGGCACTTGAAAGCCATGTAAATTACCATAAAGAAGTTACTATATATATGCAAAATAAACTCTTACTGCAGTGTGCGTTAGTAAAACAGTAGAAATATTGTTATAAAAACTGAAAAATTAGTCATTAATCACACAAAACATGTAAATTATTACTTGCATCTTGAATCTTTTTACTTTTTAAAAATTATAAGTACATTTTTCTAAAGTTTGATTTTATTGACATACTTTAATTGGCTCATCGAGAGGCATGCTGCTTTAAAATTTCGGTCTAAACTGAATGGAAGGAAATAAAATGACCAAATAGAAAGCAATAAAGTAACATTTTACAAGGAAAATATAGCAAGGGTTGTACTATTAAAGCTTTTAATCTATGGGAAAATCTTCAATATTTTCAAAATTTTCACTTTTCTTCATGATAAATAAAGTTTCATATCATGAGATGTCAGAGTATCCCTGTATAAGTTGGAATAAATTTCAGGCCACCTGTTGGAAATGTTTATATTATTGTCATTATAAGTAGGGAAAGTGTCTAAAACCCTTCCTTTTCCCAGAGTTTCTCAAATATAAACAAATACAAACCAGATGCTGAGCTGACATTATCTGAACTTTGCATGGAAAGCAAGCAAACTGATTTCTGGTTCCAAAGACATTACCCAGGCTTAGTTGTAGATCAGGATTAAATGCAATTACTATTTGTTTTATTGCTCTCCAGATGTGTTCTTTGTCCATTGACCATCAGTAAAAGCTTTTCAAAAAGTATTCGCTTAAAAGCCATATATTAGAAAATTAAACATTTTATACACTGATTAAGATGTCTTTTATGGAATTAGTAGAATATCAGATCCATATTATTTATAGTCTACATTTTCTTTTTTCTTTTGGTCATTTTCTGGTCAACAAATGAAAAAATAAAAAGTTTTTATCCCATGTATCATTATACATTACAAAGCATACGATCATATTTATTCAAAAGCTCTCCTATAAGCAAACAAAGTTGCTTGCTTTGGATCATACATGTAGAAAATTAAACAATTAATTTGAAGTTTCTTTCATCTAATTCTTTTTGTTTTGGCTCTTAAAACTAAAGCAGCCAGATTATCTTGCATGCTGCTGGAAAAAAAAACAACCTAAAAGATCATTGTGACAAAATTTACATACAAACTCAATTTGTTTTTATAGTTTTAAATAATACAACTTTATCAAAAATTCTTTTTTAATAGTAGTTGTTTTTATTGTTTGAAGTCAATATTGGTTTTAATCTATGTATTCATACTAGCTTTCTGACTTTGTTGGAATAAAAATGTGTTTTTAAAGGATTAGAAATAGTTTAAATGCTGGCAAATGAGATATTATCAACAAAGAGTTTGTTTACATAATCAGCTGCAGCATGAATGGTTTAAATGTCATGTATAGAGGTTTTTGTCAAAACATGCATTTATGCTAAAATAGTTTTCGTAATAAACTCAGAGGCCAGTCATAATGTGTTTATTGCCTTCAATATTACCTTTTGACAGTCATTTATATTACATAAAATGTGTATACTATATACAGTTCAAATTAATAAAAAGGCATGTTTCATATTTATAATTTAGAGATTTGATGCATCTTTGGAAACAGGGCATCCATTAGTGGAAGTTTGGGAGCCATTTACTCCCTGATTTTGGCTTGTGACTTCCAAAATAAAATGCTTTTCCTTCTTTACCTATATAATATGACTCCCAATGGGAGCGGTGGCCTAGTGGTTAAGGTGTCTGCCTCTCAACCCAGAGATCATGGGTTCGAGCCCTATTTGGGTCACGACCATGTTTCTTCATTTGACACCAGTACTGATGAGGAAGCAGGCTCGAAAGTGATTAATATTAAGTTGCAAGAGCTTGTTTAAATGAATATGTTTAAACCAAACAATTTGCAGTATCTGACTTCCAAATTTTGAAACCTAATGGAAGCCCTGTATGGAAAGCACAGTCACAGATTCGGAGGTCCATTGCTAGATTGTAGGTTACTTGGTGTCAAGTTCATTGAGTTATGACAGTGCTATATTGTATTGGAAGATTATTATGGGGCTTTAAACCACCTGAATCTGTTTTGAAAACAGCCAATCATTGTGTATTTTATAGTACTATTAAATTCAGGTTTTAGATTGAATTTGTAAAGCAGTAGATTAATGTTTAAGTTGACTGCATTCAGGGTCGTTATTTGTATAAAACGAGACTATTTAACTTGAAAAAAAAGCGCTATATAATGGCGGGGTAGATATACACTGGTAGCGGTTTATATAAATGTAAATAAACAGAGCTCTCCATGCCTATTAGACCATGTTCCATGCAATTTATCATCCCGATCATATTGAAAGCCTGCACTTTGTCAAAGTGTTTAGATAGAAATGTCAATGGCTATTGTACATGCTGTCAATGTGTTTATATTATTAATAAATGCATTGATGACGTCCATAATTAATTACTGGTGAATAAACAGGCCTGCACTTTGCAGGGTTTATATCGATTTCCTTCAAACATAATGATATAAACAGCCTTTCATTTTTCATAAGTTGACAGTAGATATATAAGATAGTAAAAGAAAAAGTGTGTCGCTCTTTAATCAACTGGTGCCCAGGTGCATTGTGTATCATTAGTTTGACATGCTCTCCCTAATGATTTAACACCTGCAAAATTATAGCCTTCAAATTGTGATTATTTACAACCAGATTTTACTTTGTTTCACAGGAGGTCTTAAAATACACTTTGTGTGCATATATATATGATAACTTATCATTTTATGTAAACACTGGCTCCTAAAGTTTGTTAAATTTTTTTTTGATTTGCAGCTGAACGTTCTAAACTTTAAGCAGTTGGCCTAGGAAGTTAGTCTCTTTGAACACTAGGGAAAACTATATAAAGTACCCTTATCTTGCTGAATTTTTGTAGTACATGTCAATAAAAGTTGGCCTACCTTGAAATTGTAACAGTCCATTTGAAAGTAAAAGGATTTCATAATCAAGATACTAAAATTCAGCTATCAACGATACACAGTCTGGCGGCAGGCCACAGGCTGGCATGGCCCTGTACTTGTGGCAAAGGCTATAATAGTTATAATGTAAGATGTATTTAAAGAAAAGAAAAAAAAAACAGGCTATTTTGTTTAGTTAATACAAAATTGTTTTAGTTCAGTTGTGTTTAAAACAAAATTAGCTTATGATCATTCCTGGAATGAAATAGTGTTTAACCCATGATGGGGTTTGAACCCATGCGTCCAGTTATCCTTAAATTTCTAGTCCCACATGTTAACCACTTGGCCATGTTACCGCAAGCATGAGCAAGTTTGTTTGTGCGTTGGAATAATTATTTTAATAGGATAATCAGCTCAAATTGACAATAGAAGTTCTACAAGTTTTAAAAGTGAGAAATATACATTAACCCAATTAACATGCTGAACCTAATAAGACATCTTGAAAAACCTCATGTTCTGAGTCTGATATAATTACTGGGTTGTCTAAAGATATGTAAATATTTGTATTTTATCTATAGCCAATCCAATTAACTTAGATTGTTTTTTTAATTGCAAAAAGAGGTGTGTGACTCTTAGATTAAACAATTTGAATATTTTAATTAAAATATAGTATATTTTATTTGGATTTATATTCATGAAACAAGAGAAAGCCTTGATCCGTTTGTAAAATTGCTTTATTTTGTAATATTATAAGGCAACATATTAATGATGATTCATTGTATTAAATGATAAGGTTATAACTATCTCCTTTAATTAATTCTGTATTAAGAATAATTTTTGTTGTTGATTCATTGTGTCGGAAGCTTTAATCTTAGGCATGCATTCGAATGTTTTCCTGGAACCAACCACAATACTACATGTATCAAGGTTCTTGCTCAAGGAAACAAAAGCCTGCCCCTGACAAAGTTCAACCCATGCAGCCAGCAATATTTTGATTACTTCCCTAATTTAGATGCATTAACCTCTCAGCCGCACTGCCACATAAAGAGAAATATATATGTGTGCATGTGCTGATAAAATGATAATTATCTCAGTAACTTTGAAATTTGTCATTTTCATTGAAGTATA